CCTGTATCCTAGGCGAGGTAGTCAACATCTTGCCACCACGGCGGAACGAGTGAAGCAGAACAAACGAGACAGACGGAAGAAATAAATAATTGAACATTTGAATGGGAGGTGGTATGAATTGTTTTATGCTTAATATTTAACGCTGCACTTTTAATCATTTAAGCCTCCCCTAGTGTGCCATGGTGATGTGTCACGATTCCAGGTCGCGATTCAAAATTGATAACGATTCCTGTTTGGGCGTAAGTCAAGTCCTCGGGCCTCGCATCCAGCAATGGATTGACCAAGGGCTGCTGCACATCATTATCATCAGTTCTTTGGAAGCTCAGCACGGTTTTGAGCCTGAATCTTGCTTGAACGGGCGATCACCACGCACGCATCGCAGGTTGTTACAGGTTGCGTTGTGAGCCGCAGAGGGCAATGCACCGACATCAATTGCTGCACCGTACTTCTATGCTCCCAAAATCTGTCCCCGAAACTTCTCCAACCCTCGCAATCCAGCGTGGCGAGGTACAGTCAAATAACCCCAAGGCCAGCATGGCGGTTCGTGGCTTCGGTCCAATGGTGGATTGACAAAGCGCCGTGCGTGATGACATATTATTGGATACGTTGCGCACGATCGATGGCCGCGCACTGCACACGATGCCGTGGGTACGCATCCCACCTCCGATTTCCCCCGCGCCTCCGATTAGCGCGGACGGCTTTCCTGCGTATGGTGCCAAATAAATTAACGTGTGCGTGCGTACGTAGGGATCGATTAAAAATGGACGTGTCGCCGTTACTGTATGAGCTCATGCCTCGCGGCGCGTGAGCGAGGCAGGCAGGAAGCAGGCGGAGCGCCGGAGTTCCTCCCGTGGTTTCACTCCTTGCTCTCTGGTGGCTAGGAGATGTTGACGACCTCGCCTGGTCTACAGCAGGTTGTGGGTTCGATCCTGACCCTGACCGCTGCTGTATATTTGGAGTTTGCATGTCTCTCTCTCTCCCCGTGGTCGTGTGGATTTTTCTCCTGGTCCTCTGGTTTTTCCCTCCGCATTTCCAATCAACATGTGTTTAGACGGGTATCTGGTTGCTATACATTTGCACGTGATAAGCCACTTCGTTGAGCTATCATTTGTGGCCAGGTCACTGCTTTAAAAGAGCGATTTTGCTCAGAGGGCATTACCCGGTTTAGTTTTGGAGCGACGCGGAGTGAGCGAGCGAGGGATACTTCAGCTCCGTGCTCTTCACTCATTTTCACAGTGGCGGGGGGGGGGGAAAGGTGGACTTTCGCCGATAAGACATCAGTGTGAGAACCGCCACACGTATTTGAAACCATTCGGTTTGACAGCACGATGATGAGGGCAATGTTTTCACATTTGTGAAACGGATAGGTCGCCGCATCACGCGAGTGAAATACCGAGGCGTGTCGTTGCACCTTCCTCCGCCCGACGCAGAGACACGAAATAAAGGTGTCACGTGAACGACATCGGCGTTCAACTCACGCGATCTGACCTATAAGTTAATTGTGAGTCATGGTATTGGACGCGAAGGCCTGCGTGCTAAACTTATTTGCCATTTGTGTAGTTGTAAAGAATGCACAGAATGAGGGCAGTCGAGATGCTCCCTGCCTGGAGGAGCTGTAGCCGAGGGGACGGGACATGAAGTGGCCTCGTTTGATTCATCAAGGACGTGGGTTGTTCAAATGCCCGTCTCGGATTGCAGTGCTGTGCAACCCATGGTACATTGAACTTTTTTATTTTCTGTAGATTTTATTTTAGCAGTAATATGTGGGATGCTAACAACGATAATAATTCTAATAATTATTATTATGATACAATCCGCCACTGGATGAAGGCCTCCGCACACCACGCTGGTCGTGACGGTTGTTTAACCGCACTTCAACACGCTGGTCTTTGCGGGTTGGTGTAGTGCAGGGGTTGCTGACCCCTGGTGGGTTGCTCACCCCTGGTGTGGTGGGTTGCCGACACCTGGTGTGGTGGGTCGTCAAAATTTGCCGCCCCAGATGTCACTCGCCACTCGTGTTACTCGCTGTTCCCCGCGTAGCGACGTGGAGTGAGCGAGGCCACCCTTGTTGCTCTTCCCAAGAGCCGTCGTCATCTCTATGTTCCAGTCGCTTTGAAGCAGAGGTGCAGAGCCGCACGTATTGTGTATACGGTCGGGACATTTTTTGTCACTCGACCACTGGATGAAGGGGGCCTTTTCTGGATATCGTTTGAGAATATTTCACCACACTGGCCGTTGGCGTTTTTGGTGAAGGCAGGTGGCATTGACGTTGGAACGTAGTACAGTGCAATAGATGGGTTTTGCTGCTGCACGGCCCTGTTAAAACCAAAAAAAACAATCACCGCTCCGCCGGACCAAGCTTCATTACAGGCCCTGTTCATGTCACGAGTCGGGACGTTTCCCACAGCAATTACATCCATGACGGAATCCACGGCAAGGCGAGGGCATGTGATTTTGTTTTGGGTTTTTCCGCCTCTCCGTCTTTGTTTTCGCTCCGTCCTGTCTGGAATGCCTCGCTGGGGCCCTGTGCCCTTTGCGCCGCTCGCCGTATGTATGTACGTACGCGTGCGTTCGCATTCGTGCGTGTACGTGTGTTGCGTCTGCGCGGTGTAGCGGTTAGCATGCCACGCTATGAACCCGGCACGCCGAGTTTGATTCCCGCTCACGGCCAAGATCAGTGATTTATCTGAACCGGTCCTGGGCCTCCCCTAGGTCGATTCAGCCTCAAATGAGTACCTAATGCAGTGTGCAAACATCGCCATTGAGGAAACAACGGCAGCCGGGCGTAGTGCCAGCCACCCACCCTCTCGTGTGCCATGCTCCCTAGCAGCACTTGCCCCAACAGTCTGTCAGGCTATACGGGTCATCTTTGTCTTTATCTGTGTGCGCGCACGCGCGCGTGCCAGCCAAGTGTTCCGCGCGGGTGTGAGAAGAGGATGCTGCCACCCTTGGTGAGCTGTGACCGTGCCCTGGAGGGCACTCTGGGTACAGTTGGAGTCCTTTGCGAGGCTCTTTGCGAGCCCTGTAGCCGCGGGAAAGATCCGGCACCACAATTTCGTCCCCGTTCCCTGTCGAGGGCCATAATGGTTACACTTAACAGCCGCTGGTGCAAGGCAAAAAAAAAGTCTTCTCCCGTGGAATTTGCTGTTTGGTTTTGTAGCAGATGTGAGTGTGTGTGTACAGTGTTGTAATCATGAAATCACTCTGCAAGTGGAGAGATTGGGAGGGGGGGGGCTGAGAGGAATTATGTGGAGATGTTTGGGTGGCGTGTTTTGTTTTGTATCGATTCGTGGGATTCTCGCTTGTTATTTATATATATATTTACCCTTTATTTTCGGCGGTAATGCCGAATGTCAGCTGTCAGAATTATATAAGGATATCCGAACTGGGTCTGTGCCACCACTTCCTTAACCCGCACTGACCAGCATGGTGAAGTATGGTCAAACAACCCCCCGTGACCGACGTGGTGTGAGGGTAGGCCTTCAATTTGAAGTAGCAACAGGCAAAGGCGTGGTGCTGCTCGCAAACCGCAGGAAGCCAAGACCCCGTGCACGCTTGTCATGTGCCCTCGTAGCTCTCAGCCTCATCCAGTCTGGAGGCCTTCATCAAGCAATGCGTTGACAAAGGGCTTGTGAATTAATAATAACATTCGTATTATAGTGATTACATTTTACAACGGAGAAATGCACGGTCGACTTGGGCCCTGTCGCAGAGGAGACGAACGTGGACGCAGCTTGAGCGTCCCGTCGCCCCTTGCCCTATCCGTCATCCTAAGCGACACAAAACTCCACTTAAACTTTACGCGGCTTTCAAACACAACTGCTCGACGGAGAAGGATGCGTTCTGCATAGGTTGGATTATTTTTTTTTACACGGGATTCCCCCCCCCCCTCTCCGCCCCCGTTATTTATTCATTACGTGGAATTTTGTACTATTTACCCTTGGCCGAGCGCTCGGGGCGCGCACATCTGCGGGGGGCGCATTGTGTGGTGGCTCACAGCCCTGTGACCATCAGATACCGGTGGCTTTTATGGGTGAATGCGGTGCAGGTCCTCCCTTCCCTCCACCACTGGTCGCTTTGTTGTCGCTCAAATGTACGTGCGCGCGGTTTTGGTGACCTCTGCCTAACGTACTGTGTGTGCAGTCTGTGCGTTCCCCATTAAAGGACAGCGGGAGTCCATTTAGCTTGCTGCTCTGTGTTGTTGTTTTTTTAAAGTTGGCTCGTGGACCACTTACTGCCGTACCTGGGAACCATAATGTTCGTCTGTCCTGTCATGCTCACGGTTTTCGCAGAAAGCTACAAATCCCTAAACCGATCGCTATGAAACTCACCGCACAAAGCTCGCCAGCATCAGTACTAAATTTACTACGCAGCTAATTTCATGTCATCCTGTGCACCAGATTGACTCGTGTGTGTGTGTGTCTGCGTACACTGTCGCTTCACTCGTGACACTGACGGCGTGTTTTACGTACTGGCTCGTACAACTCGCTTCCCCAGCCGCTCTCGCTTCGTCTCCTGATTGCAGACGCTACATTGGCGGTGGTGGATCGACCGGCGGTTCGGTGCGTAGCTGAAAGAGACGCCGGGCGCGAGAGTGCGCTGCGTGTGATCAATGCCCTGCACCTGTGGCCCCACAGTGGAAAATCTCAGGGGGCCTCAAGTGGCTTTGTGATCGACTGCGGAGGGCGTTTCACCCTCGCTTTCAAGTGTCGCGTGCCTGTGTGTGTGTGTTTTTTTTTCTAGGCTCACAACCCGATCGATTGCGGGCGTGGGGAGGCCCTCATCCAGCAGTGGATTGATAAACCCGGGACCGACTGTACTTGCACATAGAAGCGCTTTTCCTGTTTATTGTGTTGTCCTTCTTCCGCACCTCCGATTAGCCACGTATGGTGCGAAAGAAGTTCAACGTACATACGTACATTCACAGGCCGTTATCCTTGTGTTGCGCAATGCTGATGGTATTTTTGACGAATCCCCCGTTTCGCTCGTTTTCTTAACAGGATCAGTTTGACAACGTTGAGAAGCACACGCAGTGGGGCATTGACTTTTTGGAGAAGTACTGCAAGTTCGTGAAGGAGAGGACCGAAATCGAGACCAACTATGCCAAGCAGCTGCGGTAAGAGCTCTGGTTTGATCCGGTTACCACTCAGCTCTGATTTGCTCATGTTACCACTCAGCTCTGGAGTTAATTTGCAGGTATCTGACGGCTTCTGTAAACATCGCACAAGTCCATAACGTGCCAAATGCGTTGTCTAAACACCCTTGGCAGGGGCGGCAATGCGTGCGTGTGTGTTCTATATCACACCAGGTACTCAAATGAGGCTGAGTCGACCTAGGGTGAAGCCCATTATCGATTCAGTTATCGTCACTGGTGTTGGCCGTGAGCGGGAATCGAACTCAGGATGCTGAATTTGTAGCGCAGCGCGCGAACCGCTGCTACACTACCGCTCCCCATAAGCCATAAGTAAACAATTAACGGTTCTGGAAACCGCGTCCAACAAAGACAAAGATTCCCTGTATAGCCTTAACAGACTGTTGGGGCAAGTGCTGTTAGTGAGTAGCACCTATGAAGGCCGGCACGGCACACGAGGGGGGTGGGTGCCCAGCACCACGCCCAACTGCATACACACACACACAGGCAAACACGCGTGCGTGTAACCCGCTCGTGCGCGATGCTTGCTGACAGCCGCTCTCGCGATGAGCGGGCAATCGCGGTAATGGCTCTGGCGCGCAAAGGAGACGCCTCCTCCTCCTCCTCGCTGGAAGATCTCATGGTGGGCACGCCAAGAGGCCGAGGCCTCTCGCTGTGCCCAGGGGGCGTCACACGTTCCGCCGCCCCGCCCGTGGCACGGGCCGCAGCTGGCCGCTCGCGCTACGCTCACGCTGCTGCCACCGCTGCTGCTGCTGCTGTTCTAATAAGCAAAGTGCTCGGCGATAAGGGATTTGGATGTTTTATTTATTATTCGTGATTTTTTTTTTTGACAATGTAGGTGGTGTTCATGCTCGTACTGTACGGCTCTCCGATATGAGTTGTTGCCACACCGGCATGATGCCCGACCTTCAGTTTCGCCACGTGTGGCGGGAGCTTCGTTAGGAACCGAGTTGAATGAATTTCCTCATGAAGGTCTCCGCACGCGGGGCAAAGCGTCGGGCATCGTGCCGAACAGCGCACGGCACGACCCGCGGTTACGCCACGCGGTACGACCCAAACACACATTAGAGACCTTGCTATGTCCTTCCTATATTTTTCGTCTCAGTTTATTGATTATGTCTGCAATGGCTTCATTCCTGTCTCCTCTGCTTGCTTCGCTGCGCTTGCTTGGTTCGTTCGGCGGGTGCCGCTCGGGTTGCTGCGTCGTCGCGGGAGCCGTGAGAGATGGCGACGGCTTGGGGGGGGGGATGCCTTCGTGCGGCAGTGGACGGATCGTGGCTTGACGTTGATGGTGGTTGTCGTCTTCCCCCCCCCCGCACCTCCGATTAGCACGGTTGGCTACGTACGGTGCGAAAGAAGTTCAACGTGCGTGTACGTGACGGCGACATAATGCTTCGCACAGCTCGGGAATTCCCAGAGGGGAGACTGTCTGGGAAGATCGGGAATTCTAATGCTCGGGGTCTGTGGAGTGGCCACGAGGTGGCGATACAGCAGTGGATTGAATCCATCTGTGCAGAGCTTTGAGTGTTTTTTTTCTCCTTCGCGTTGTGGGCTCTCTCCTGTGTGTGCCGGATTCCTCACACAAATCCAACCATGAATGGAACTGAACCGGCCAATCATTCCAATGTAGCAGGAACGCACCCACCCCCCGACATTGAGTTATTGGTATTAAAACCGGTTAAGACCATTGCAAATACGGTCACATCCAGTTTTCAGTGTAGTCCAGCCAACATGGACTACAGTTGTGAGATTAGTCGTATACAACTAATCTGATTCTTACTCGGTTAATCGTTCATTCAGATCTCTGTTTCAAAATATATTCTTACTCAGCTCAGACTCTTTATTTAGACTGGAGGAATCCGATGAGCTGTGAAGCTCTTGTTCACAGATGTTCAGTATGGGCGGGTCATCAGTCTCACCCGGCTCCCTCCCGCCTGGTTATAAATACATGCTATGGCGATAATGGCGACTTTGGTTCGACGCTATTATTTTTGTGCCTGTGTTCCCGGAATGTTTCGTGAGCTCACGGCGCGATTGCATTCGCAAAGCGCGGATTCTGACAAAGCGTCTCGTCGTGCTGGCGCCGATTAATATCAGACTGGTGATGTGCGATGGCCCACTCGGAGTTCGTTGCGTGCGGCATGGATCAACCGATTTCATTCCATGTCCGCAGGCGCAATGTGATCTGCCAGGAATCCTGATGGTCACCACGTCACTTTGCCAAGGGTGTTACTCATTCAAAAGTGGGGGGCACCCATTTCGCTAATGGGAACCACTAATGAGATCCACTTGACTTTGCCAACGGTGTTACTCATTCAAAAAGAAAATGAATCACAACTTCCCGTTACTCCGAAAATATAAAAGGAACCGAAATATAAAATGGAGGTTGAGTTATTAAGTCTGCTTAGAGAGTTGAGCGTTGCTTCATAGGGAACTGAACAGCGTTGGTCCAATGTAGAGATTCGCCTACACACCATAGGAATTTGGAATTTACACCACTACCTCTGTGGAAATTCTGGTTCAGGGCTGTGAACAGGAGGTGAGCAGCGTCTCAGTGCTCTTTGAAGCAGAAAATTATTTGGACTTTTTGAGGGGGTTGGGACTGAACTTTGTGCAAAGAAGCGTGGAGAGATGCAAACTTGGAATTACATTCAGATACAGAAAGGGGAAGCGCATGGATTAGAGAATAAAAGTAAATGAGCTCTTGGTGGAAGCGATGCTGGGCCGATGGACGGTCAAAAACAATGATGGAATGGCAGCCATCGATTGGAACCCGCCCGAGATAATACATCCGCAGCGGAGATGGAGAGATCAAATCAGTTTCTGTGCAGCAGGTGCCAGGCGGATCCCTACGTCGCAGCACCGCGAGCGAGTGGTGGCGGCGACGGCGTGGGGAGACCATCACAAGTGGATTGGCGACGACGATGATGACGATGACGCTTCCCACAATTCTCCGATACTCGGGCGGGAGGCCTCGTAGCGTTGGATAGAACACCACTGATGCTCGTGACGATGACAACAACGAGGTAGTCGCGACTGTCATGAGAAGAGGGGGGCAGCAGGTGGTGGTGCTGGTGGTTGTGATAGGTGTTGCCTCGACCCCTGGTTTTGACCTTCTGGAGGGAGAAGGGGGGGGCGGCCGCAGTTTTTGCATTCTCCTCGCATTGCCTGCGATCCTCGGGGCCATGTGGTGGCTGGGCGCGCCGGACGACGAGACGCATCGTTGGGGACGGAATTGCACGGACGCATTCTGCGCGGCGGGGGAAGCACCGAAAATAAACCGTCCACGCGTATAGCGTTACGTATAGCGTTACGTCGCATTATGACCGCGCCCGCTCGCTTGTGTGTTTATGTGTTGGTGGTGCCACACGAGGAGTGGTGGCATAAAAGTGACGATAATTATCTGAATCGTTCCTGGGCCTCCCCGAGGTCGGCTCAGCCTCAAAGGAGTACCTGGCGCGGTGTGCAAACATCGCCACTGGGGTGACAAAGGTGTCCGGAGGTGCTGTTGGCCCCCAATCCCCTCGTGTGCCGTGCCGGCCTTTCGTAGGTGCTCGCTAACAGCACTTGCCCCAACAGTCTGTTAAGATTATGTGAGGGATCTTTGTATTTGTCTGGGCAAGTCCTCACCTTTGCCTCTATCCGCACAGCAGTATGCGTGTGTTACACTGCAGTGATCGAGCGGCACGTCGCGTGTGGTGGGGTAAATTGTGGGTAGTCCCACAACTTCCAGCACGGCTGGGCAACGTGCAAGAGTCGGTCAAATTCCCTATACATAATAGAACTAAATCATTCACTTACTTTACCAGGGTCCCCGCATTGGGTTTTACATTTTAAGATGTTTTCAGACAATTGTTATACAATTGTTATACGCGTGGGAGGAAACCGGAGTGCTCGGAGAAAACCCACGAAAGGGAAGAGGGCAACGCTCTATCCCTGCACACAGATGGAATAAACACATGGCGATTAGTCCACTTGCTCACTTCCGTCTTCTCTTGGCGAGCCGGAGGTACGGGCTCCTCCCCGACGCCCACGGGAAGGGAGCTTCACACCCCGTCTGTGCGGCGATCCACCAACCCTCGCTGCTGCCTCGACAGCGCTGGATTGCAGACAGACACGTGCATAGCCGCCCCAGCCCAGCTAAGAGAGGCTGTCTAGAGCTCCCTTTAGTGGAGGCCCCTTCCTGCTGGCAGGAGAGTGAGCGAGCAATTGCAGGGCTGCACCTTGCATGTGTTTATTTTAAATTCAAATGCAGCGTTCATTTTCTTTGGCCAAACACCACCAACTCAGGACGGGCAGCAGCAGTAGGGGCAGGGGCAGCGGCAGAGGTGCCCATGGGCAACTGGGGGCGGCTCGTCGGACCGCAGAAGCGGCAGTGACTTAATGGCGAAAGCAAAAATAGCTCCCCCGGGACACGTGATAGGCCAGAGCGTGGTGACGCTCGTCTTACAAGGCGTTGCCCCTTTTGTTCTACCGAGTGCCACGGTGGCTCAGGCTGGGATTGCTTCGTCGCAGTTGACAGACCGCCCGCCCGCCCGCACGCACGCTCGCGCGTTCAGTGGCGCTCCGGCAAACCTTGCCCCACGATCGCTTTGCGCACACGCCGGTGCTTCCTTTTTGCAGAAATCGGCTGTGCCAGCGAAGCGGATTTTCCAGTTTGCTCTCGAATGCACGACGACGACGACGGAAACGGAACCGCCGATTGATTTGAATCGTCAGGAGCCCGGCCGACTGTATTATTATTTATTTGCAACAACAACAACAGCAAGAAAAACTTGTTCTTGATTTTGAGGTTGTCCCTGTTACTTCCCCCACGGGGCTCGTAGTGCTCGCGTTGCAGCCAATTGAGCCGCCCGCCACCGGAACCAGGGTTTGACTTCAAGTTTCAACCACCGATGAGTAAGCGGATTCTCAAGTGTGGTCGTCCATCTGTTGTCACAGCCCGGTTTGTTTTATAAATAATAATTGATTCCTATGCGCATGATTCAGAACGTACCCAGCGACCCGAGTTCGATTCCCACTCATGGCCAACACCAGTGACGATTATCTGAATCGGTCCTGGGCCTCCTCTAGGTAGACTCAGCCTAAAATGAGTACCCGGTGCGATGTGTAAACATCGCTACAGGGGAGACAAAGGCGGCTGAGCGTGGTGCTGGCCACCCACCCCCCTCGTGTGCCGTACCGGCTAACAGCACTTGCCCCAGCAGCCTGTTAATGCTACGCGGGGAATATTTGTCTTTGGTACATTCTCAACAAAATGAAAGTATTTCAATGCTAAACACCTCCGGTGGTGGGCATTGAGTAAGCAGAGCGTTCTTCTCTTGCACAGGGTGGTGCAATGCTAGCTGCAAGAACATTCCGAAGGGAGATTTCCTGGTCTCACGGCGCGTCGCCTGCGGCGCAGTAGGAATGCACTTTTTGACACCAGCAACTGCATTTCCTGGACGCCGCAGCTACTGCTGCCGCCCATTTAAGGAAAACCTCCGCTGCTGCCGCTGATATTGTCCATAAAAGCAGCTGAAGGCGTCTTTCGTTCCAGACGTGGAAATGTCCAAACCGTCTGTCTGGTCGGCGAAGGTGGGGAGCGTGCGATCGTTTTCAGCGATACGCCGCCGTCTGCCCACAACTCGCTCTCATCCCGCGCTGCCGCCCCCCCCCCATCTCCCTCGCGCTCTCGTCGTCATCGTCGGTTGTCGTCGCTCCGCTAACGTGCGGAGCGAGGGGAGCGGGGCCCCTCGCTCGCTCTCGAGAGCGACCCATTTTTTTACGCCGCGACGATATTTATTGCCGGCGCTTAACTTTGTTCCTGGCTCCCAGGACACGGCGAGGGAATTTTATCGCCGTTCTCACCGAGTGGGGCTCTGGGGAGCGCGCGACCTTGGGATGTCGAGTCGTGGGCGTAAGTTGTCGAGCGGTGGAGGGCTGGATGCGGGTCCCCGTGACTTGATCCCTTACACAGCCTGCGGCCGCACAGGACCTTACCGCCTCGAAACTAAACTAAAACAATTTTTACTTTACCAGGTAAGGCCCACTGAGCTGTGTCGCTCTTTTTCAGAAGTGACCTGGCTATCACAAATGATAGCTCAAAGAAGTGGCTCATCACTTGGAAATTCATAGCAGCCAAATACTCTAAACGCACGCTAATGCTAAATGTGGAGGGAAAAACCAGAGGATCCTGAGAAATATCAACGTGACCACAGGGAGAGTGAACATGCAAACTCCAAATCACAAAGCATCAGGGTTGTGATCGAACCCACGAACGCCTGCATACCGGGCGAGGTAGTTTAGCTGATCCAGCCACATCGGATAGTCCCTCATCCACCAGTAGATTCATACTGAGGGCTGTAGCTATTACGAGCCATAGGCGTTTATCCCAGTGGCAGTCGGAACAGCGTTTCCACCGCGTTTGTCTTGCTTGGCGCCCCGTCGCGGGCCGCGATAACAACTCACGATGGGGCGCACGGCTCTCCAGGAAGTCCTGAGTGTTTCCTCTGGATATGAGGCTTGGGGTTAGCCACCACGCTCGTGCTTTTGCCGTACGTCGGTTTCAAGATGTGTTGCCGATTTCGTCCGTTTGTAGGCCCGATTTTGAGCGCCGATGAAAGGCGATTGGTCGTCACCGGGCGAGAAACTGTGTGACTGTTCCACATGCCCTTTCGGTGAGGCTGATCCAAGTATCGTTGTCATCATCGCCATTATCGATCGGCCATGAGCAATCCGCCGCTGGATGAAAGCTCCCCTGAGCACTCGTAATCTCGTTTCTGCTGCGTAACAATCCACATTTTGCCCGCACTTTAAGGATTTCATCACTTCATCTCCCTGGTGGATGTGTTCTTTCTTCATGCGTTGCGTTCCTTGACATTCAATGATGTAGCATTAAATCAAACTCGCGTGGGTGTCATACTGAACTGTTCAAATGTCACATTTTGCCCTTTTGTATTTAAAAGTTATACCTGTGTGTGTGTTGTCTTTGTACGTGCGCGCGTGTGTGTGCGCAGGAATCTCACGAAAAAATATCAGTCGAAGAAAAATTCTAAGGAGGAGGATGAGAACAGGTATGCATGTATACGTTAGGGTGCTACTCGGTAGGCATGTGGAAAAGTGAAGTTTCAGTTTACTTGAAACGCACACCCTCCTCTCGATTTGCTGCAATTATTGTAAAAGTCAACTGCCGAAAATGTCATTCTAATCCATTGACATTTACAGGTTGCTAAGGATCCACTCTTAATAAGGGCCCCACAGTGGCGAAATGTTAACTACCTCGCCTGGTATACGGGAGGTCGTGGGTTCTATCCCGACCCTGACGCCTGCTGCACATTTGGAGTTTGCGTGTTCTTCCCGTGGTCACGTGGATTTTTCTCCGGGTCCTCCAGTTTTTCCCTCCAGATTTGGAATCAACATGAGTTTCGAATATTTGGATGCTTTCCATTTCCACGTGATGATAAGTCACTTTTTTGAGCTATCTTTTGTCGCAAGGTTGCTTCTGAAAAAGGCCTACATAGCTCAGTGGGCCTTACCTGGTAAAATAAAAACAAGTTTAATAGTTCAGTTCAATTTGCATGCCTCAACATTGTCTGCGTGCACTTTGCTGCAATGCATTTGTCAACTGCTTTGAGCAACAACCGGTAAAATATCGAGAGGTTCTCTTTTCAACTCGCAGCGGCTTCGGTTGAACAGGCAACTGAATGCATCCAGGAGGCGTGACCTTTAAAAGTAACAAACCTAAATACCGAGCGGCACCCTAACACGCGAACGCACCGGTGACGTTACCGTCATCACGTTGCAGCTCTCACCTCGTGCCTGCCGCAGCTTATCCCCAATGTTTAATTTATCGGCTGTCGCTGATGGGCGCGCAGCCTATCAGCGAGGCGCTATAAATACGCACTTTCAAGTCTTTATCAAAATGAATGGATTCATGACCTGAAGATTTGCGAGCGCTGTCGCGACAGGCATGGGGGTTTGAGGTTCGAGCCACTCCCGTTTCCTGCCACGCACAAATCACTCACAGTTGATAAGGAACTGGGGAAACAAAAAACATCACCGACGCGCACGACCCTTGCGAGGTACGGCCTCGTGTGTCAGTCCGTCTCATTGCTTCCGTCAGGCCAGAGGAAACATTAGCATTTAAATCTGGGGAGCATGCGTGCAACGATTTGTCCTCTCCCCCGTGATTCCATGAATGATGGCGGTTGACAGTAGCGATTCAATTCAAGTTAATTTTTGCTGTCAGCTTCACCGTTGTTTCTATTGTCGCGTTCGTGTGCAGCAATAGTCTCCCTACGTCACTCTCTCCCCAGTGAATCCATGAATGATCGCGATTCAGAGTAGCAATTCAAGAGAGCGGAGCACCGAAGTCGCGTAAGGTGAAGCGCTGTGCGTCACAAACCCATCGCGACCCCCCCCGACCCCCGAGTCGCACGTTTGCCCACGCAGGTTCTCTCGGTGTGCCGCCCACGTAGGTTCTCGGTGTGCCGCGCCTTCGTGGCGGTGCTCACGGAGCTGAACGACTATGCGGGGCAGCACGAGGTGATCGCCGAGAACATGAACGGCGCCATCCTGCGCGAGGTGCTGGCATACGTGCAGGAGCTCAAGCAGGAGCGCAAGACGGTGCGTGTGACCTCCCACCCCTGATAGCCGACGCCGCACGGTGCCGGCCTTCACCCGGCAGTGGAGCACACGACGCAGAATATGAACGACCGACGCCATCCTGTGCGAGGTGTCAGGCATACATCCATTAGCGTAAGATTAGCGTGGTCGGCTACGTCCGATGCGGATGAAGTTCAACATACATACTAAACTCGTCAGGTTAGACCGCTGTGCGCAGCTGCGTTGCTCTGTGGCTGTCCGGTCACAACTCTTTGAGTCAGCTTCAACTCGGTCCAATTTCCAGCCGCAGATAACACAAGTGGCAGGTTAAGGTTACACCGCCGTGCAAAGCTCGACGCTGCGCAGGGGGGCAGGCGTGTGGTGGGGCGGAGAGAGATTCATGACCCACGGTGCACGGTTTCTGCGGTGTGCGCGCTGGGAGTGTGAGCGCTCGCTCCGGACTTGGCGCCACTTCGCTTTCCACGGCCGTGGTGAGAACAAGGCGGGCGCCGCTCGCGTCGCTTGACCGACGGTGGCAAGTTCAGAATCAGGACATGAATTTTCGTAGCGGAGGAATCCGATGAGCTGTGAAGCTCTTTTTCACGGGTGTGCAGTAACGGCATGTAGTCAGGACGCTACAACAATAAACGAAACAAATAACACGATAAGAGGGCGAAGTATAGGAAAGGTAAACAAATCACTCTAAATTAATATACAAATTAAACTGAGCTGTTAGCTAGTTTTTCAGAAGCAACCTGGCCACAAATGATTGCTCAAGGGAGTGGCTTATCACGTGGACATTCATAGCAGCCAAACAATGTAAAGTTTACGGTGACCGAGCGACATTTCCGTAAGCTTATAGTTGTAAGGGAGTGGCTTTGGTGAATCGCCTCCCCTTGTTTACAGGTTCTGAAACGGTGTGGATGTTGACCGTTTACAGAGCGTGTGGGAATGATTTTGATCTTGTTTTGGTGGGGGGGCGGGTGGCGGGGAGGCACAAGTGGCAATGGGGAGGCCCACGTTAAGTCTGCCAAGCCCACGCCGCTGCGCCCGCTCGCGGTGCAGACATGGAAGTGAGGGAATTGTGGGTCGAGGCCGGGGAAATTCGGTCAGCAAGAGGGCCCATGACGGACACTAAATGATTGTCCAAAAGTTCCGATTGCGTTGCAGAGTGCCTTTATTCCAACTGTCGGACTCTGCATTCCATTCGTATGCTCGGCAAATTCCCCACACGGGTTACGACGAACGTGTGAGGAGGAGGATTTCAGTGGCCGCCCCTGCCACTGGACTTTTCCTCGGCCTCTACCCACAATCCCTCACTTTCACCTCTGCGTCGCGGTCGGGTTAAGCGCGGGTTTCAAGCCACCGTAGATTCAAATTAATTCCAGGGTCACAGATTGATCACCTGTGAGAGGGCGGCGAGGGAAAGCCACAAATTGTGTATATATTCATCTTCTTGGTTCTTTCGGTAAAGTGACGTAGAAGGGAAATAATAAAATAATAAAAATAAAACATAATAAAATAATTCTCACGACGTTTCGGCGACAACGCAAGCAGCCGTCCTCAGATGAAGAACAGGTCTGTCGGAAAGACAGCGTCTGAATGACGCTGTCTTTCCGACAGACCTGTTCTATTTTATTGTTATATTTTTATTATTTTATTATTTCCCTTCTACGTGACTTTACCGAAAGAACCAAGAAGATGAATCCCTGCAGTCTCGAAAGCTTTAAATCGAAATGTGTATATATTGTCCTTCCTCTCTTCCACTGTCTAAATCAAGTTCAATTTTACGAAAGAAAAAGAGACGGTCAGAGGCAGAGATGACAGTGGTCTTGAACCTGGGCTTGAATAGGTGCAGGGAGTCTGCAGCACGGATGGCTTGGTATAGAAATGAGTGCCATACCACGGAGGCAGCTGAAGAGAAGGAGTGACCTCCCGCTTGGTAGAAGAAGTTCACCGAAGGCCTTGACAGACAGCCTTGGTTTACCGCAGCAGAGGTGACGACGCTGAGCGAACTTGCAGTTAATTTTGAGACGGAGGTATTTGTGGACTTCCCTCGCGAGCCTCTGCTCCCCATGGTCTCACAAACAGTCATCATCTCCACCATGTGCCCGCTAGTTTATGGCGTGCAACCAAAACAGAAGCCTCACCTTTTGCATGGATTTGTTATTTTCGTACGTGAGAGTTTTCACTGATGAAGGGAAGTATTGTTGTAAGTTATGAGTTTCGTGATGCTTCCTCCGACTCTTCCAACATTCTGCAACGTTTTCTCCGTCCTTAAATGACATCCTCAGTGCGCTGCTTCTGCTGGAGCTATTTTGACATCGGTTGATGGATGTTGTTTGTTTCTGCCGTGAAGAAACATTCACCCTCTCTCTTCCTCTCAATGCAGTTCCAAGCTTGCATCTCTCCAAGCTTCTTTGTGCACTTTTCAGCATTTGTTAAACTTTTTTGTAAACGTCCATGTTTCTCGTCCATATGTTTTAGTCGTCTATGCTGCGTCCACTGATCGCCGGTTATTCCTATCTAGTTAATCTGGTTGATATTAACTAGCGATTAATGCCGCTATATTCTTGAGTCGATTCATGAGCCTGAATTGTGACCGTTCCGGGGAGCGTGAATTAATGCTCCCCTGAGAATTGTTTTTCCGTCTTTACGGCAAACGAACCCCGCTGATGATGTGTCGAGGTTTCGTCAGTAATTCTGCGGCAGCCAAACAGCCGCTGTACAACTACTGCCGATGCCACTCAAAGGAAGTTGGAACTGGCGCGGAGTTTCCCCACTTTAAATAAAAGCTGCTGGCGAACATCAGTGGGGGAATGACATCCAAACAGCTTCTGGAATTTTTCCGTCCACAACCCATATTGATCGGCGTGCGGAAGTGTGGTCATGCCACCCGCGACGACTGCAATGGCACGTGCAGGCCTACATCCAGAAGCTGATCGACAAAAGGCGGTTACACAAATACTCCGACAGCATCAAAATTCCAGTTTTCTATTTGTCGTTTAAGAATTCTCCGGTGCTGCACAGTCAAACCGCTTTGCATCTTGGGGTCTTCCTGGCGTTTTGTTTGAAATGACGGTAAATTGTTGTTTCGCGTCGTCATGCAAGTTTCTTGATTACTGGACATCTGTGAACAAGAGCTGTATCGCTCATTGTATTCCTCCAGTCTAAAATAAAGATTCTGATTATTCTGTTTAACGTGCTCTGTCGTGTCTTCTGGCGGCGTCTCCTCTTCGTGTGTTTCTTGGTGTTCGCAGCAACTGAACGACGGCAGGAAAGCACAGCAGCATCTCGAGGGATGCTGGAAGCAACTCGAGTCGGTGAGTGCCCCTCTCTTCGCCCACACAACTTTCCATCGCGACGCCGCCGTCGGCCTCCGCGGCGACGCTCGGCGGTGTCGGCAACGGTGATGGCATCGGGACGGACCAGCGTCAGTGTGTGCGACCATCTCGTGACGATCGCAGACCAAGAAGAAGTTCGAGAGGGAGTGCAAGGAGGCCGAGAGGGCGCTGCAGCACTTCGAAAAGATGGACAACGACATCAACGTGACGAAGGCCGACGTGGAGAAGGTACGCTCGGGTTCAGTTCGGCGGCGGTGGCAGCGGGGGGGCGGGTACCGGCGCGTTGGGTTTGACCGACGCTGCCACCTCCAGCGCCACCACCGCCGATACGGCGCTCTGCTCGCAAATCACAACGCTATCCGGCATCCTCCCAGCGGCGGCTTTTGGCTGGCCATCCAACAAAGACGGTCACTTCATTGCGCATTTTCATATACACTTCTGCGGCCGTCTGGAACGCTCTTCTGATATCAGGGAGCCACTGGAGATATGCACTTTTAAATGATCTAGATTGAAAACTAATTTTCTTGGAACTGCTTTTTGTGTTTAGTCATTCCCCTGCACTTCTATATAGTATGGACGGCTACATACGGCGCGAAAGAAGTTCAACATACGTACACACACACGCCGGTGTTCTTACAACTTCGATTTTATCGGTGGCCCAAACAGTGTCTCTGACCCATGTCACAGCAGGTGACGCACACTGATGAAATGCTTTCCTCTTCTATTAGAGTAGGAATTGTGCAAATAGTTGAGCCGCACGTCCCAGAGGATGCCCATCATGGAGTTGGGGGCGATGGAGTTGGCTCGCGCGCAGCTGCTCGATGGATTGTTCCGTCGCAGGGCCGTGAGAGATCCGGACGGCTTGAATAGGATGAATAGGACCGGTCTATTCTGGCGGCGGTGCGTTCGTACTGCGTGCCATATTGACGCTCGACTGTGGAGTTGGCGCTTCACTTGCACGGACCACACAGCGTGCGCCGTTTTAAAGGGCTTGCGCGCACTCCCCCCCCCCTCCCTGCACAACCCCCGGCGTGGGGAGATGATGCCGAAAGGCCCCATGTGTGTGCCGTCAGAGCGCGGAGGAGCGTTTACCAGACCAGACCACGGGGGAGTTGGGTGGTCTGTGACCCGCCGTGAGATGGAACATCACGCCGCAGCCACCACCATCAACAACACCACGCGATAGAGGAATGTTCATGCTATCAAACTGTGTTGTCTGCTATCCAAATATGCTGTCAGATTATCCACCAGTGGCTCCAGGGGTCACATGAACCCATAAAAAAAATATTTCTCACGCGGTTCGACCGCACGCTTAACACTCGACGCAACGCGATGAATCGACGACGCATCCTCGTCGCGTGTCCGGGCCATGCAGGCGCGGACGCAGTCGAACCAGCGGATGCAGATGGCCGAGGACTGCAAGAGCGAGTATGCGGCACAGCTGCAGAAGTTTAACGAGGAGCAGAACCAGCACTACTTCACCGTCATGCCCAAGGTCTTCCAGGTGATGCAGGATCGCCTCATACTTCACTACACAGGCAGCGAGTCGAACGCTGCGTTGTTGTTGTTGTTAGCCAGCAACGTCCCACTGCTGGCCAAAGGCCTCTTGTCCCCGTTCTGTTCTGTGTGAAAACGTTTACATCTGACCGTCAAATGGTTTGGATTTCACGTTGTTAGCATAATGAAAAAAATGCATTCTTCTTTTGTTGTTGTTGTTGTTGGTACCGACTGAAAGAGAACATAGATCCTAACACGTTCTCTCCGCATCCACGCCTCTGTTAATGTTGTTCACTTCCCCTTAATCAAGTGGAAGGGAGGCATCAAGGCCACTCTGTTCCCAGTCGAGCTGCTAACAAAAGAAAGTCTTTTTTTTGTTCAGTCTAATGCGTTGAACAGCAGCTAACTCGTATCCAAACCCCTTGGACGGCCAGACGTAAACTTTGAGCGTAAATAGCCACCCTTGCGTTGTTTAACGCTGCCCATTAGCAGTTAATCAGCCGGACGGTTTCCCCGAACTGTCTCTGAGTAAACCTAAGCACCTCTTTTGTGTGTGTGCATGCGTGTGTGTGCATGCGTGTGCATGCGTGTGTGTGCATGCGTGTGCATGCGTGTGTGTGCATGCGTGTGTGTGTGCGTGTGCATGCGTGTGTGTGTGTGTGCGTGTGCGTGCATGTGTGTAACGACGGCCGAGCAAAACACCGTGGTAAAAAGAACTCCAAAAACAAACGTGATTTTATTTTTTTATTTCTAACGCGAGGGGTGGTGGGGGAGGCTGCGTGGTGACATTTCACGCACGGCTTGCGTCTCCCAGGACCTGCAAGCCATGGACGAGAGGAGGATATCCAACATCGCCGAGTCGATCACGCGGTTCGCTGACATCGACCGGCAAGTCATGCCGATCCTGGGCAAGTGCCTCGATGAGATGACGTCTGCGGCCGAGAGCATCAGCGCCGAAAAGGTGAGGGGCTCTCACGTCGCCGATGTCGCCGACCCTTTGGTTTTGTCGTCGTTGTTTGTAGGTAACCCTTGGACCGTCACCCCCCCCCCCCCCCCCCCCCCCCCCCGCGGCACACGTGCCCCGTCGAATCGCGACCGTCACCTCCCCCCCCCCCCGCGGCACACGTGCCCGGTCGAATCGCGAGCGTTCAAGCCGAAGGTCGGCGGTGCGCCTGCTCGTGCGATAACACACCGGTGTGCTGAACTAGTTAACCAATTGCATGTTTTGTTTACGTGACGAACCTCGCTAATTGGCTTTGTTGGGTGGTGGTTCGGTTTAACGACACGTTTATATTTACGTGATCTAACCCAACAAAAACCTCTTATGGATAATATTGACCTTTCGCAAACCTCTGCGTGATCCACCAACCCTCGCCTCCACAAAGCGGTGGGCCACTGGCGTGTGCCACCGAGCGTTGGCCGGAGCTGAATGGCCGCGCGTTGCCGCCAGCAGCTTTTGCCTTTCGTGACGGCGTGTGCCTGGCGCACGCCGATTGGTGCCAGGTGTGAAGGCTGACACCGCCGGTGGGGCCGGCGCCAGCCACATCGGCTACTCCTCTCCGTCGCAGCGACAGTTCTGTGAAATCTCGTTCCACTCGGCCGTGCAAGTCTGTGTTCGCCGCTGAGGTCGTGACGGGTTCCCTTTCTCACCCCCGTTGCTCCGTGCCCCTGCACCGTTCCCCTTCTGCTGTAATGTGCATCGATGCCTACTGTACCGAGGGCGATGTTAAGCACGTAAACTACAGATGTAGTTGATTGGTTAAAGTCCCAAAGCTAAACTTCATCTCTCAAGATGTGAACGTGGCCTCGTGAGCTTCATCACGAAGACAGTCGAGCCATCAATCGCAAGCCCGATCTATCCGCTGCTGGACGATTCGCGCGCAGGACTCCGGCCTGGTGGTGGAGGCGTACAAGTCGGGCTTCGAGAGGCCGAGCGACGTCGACTTTGAGGACTACAGCCAGTTCATCAGCCGCACGCCGTCCGACAGCAGCATCTCGTCCTCCAGCAAGCCCGACGTGTCACGCTCCGACAACAAGCCCGTGGTGCCTGGGATCACCAAGAGCAAGCCCAAGCTGTGGCCGTTTGGCAAGAAGCACAAGGTACGCTCCACCTCCCCCCCCCACGTGTGCGTGCCATGCACGCGACCCAGCCCGTCACAAGCGTTTGTCTGGACGTCACCGTTACTCCGTGATGAACGGCGGCTGCGGTCGATGTTGCGCTAGCGTGTGCTCGGTGGTGTGCGGGAGCGGTAGTGCAGTGGTTATTGCCCTGCGCTATAAACCCTACCAACCGGGTTCAATTCCAGGCCACGGCCAGCATCAGAGGTGGTCATGTGAACCGGTCCCAGGCCCCCATACATATACTCAGCCTCAAATAAGTATCGTGGTGCGGCGTGTGAACATTAGCACTGGGGGGGTACAAGGGGTTGCCGGACGTACGTGCCGTCAGCCGATTATACAGCGCCGTGCTGACCTTTATAGGTCCTTGCTAACAGCCCTTGTCCCAACAGCCTTGCATGGCTATAGTGGGAGGAGGGGGGAATCTTTATGCGAGCGTGCGAGTGTTGCCACGTCGATAATGATGTCGTTCCTCCTCACGTCTAAGTTCGGGTGTCCCGAGAGAGAAGCCAGGGCCCCCACCGCTGCCCGCTGACGTGCAAACGCTCCATTTAGCGCGTCGGGGAGACGCAGAGGCCCGCTGTTGGCATTGGGTATTTGGCGTGACGTTGCGTCGGCCTGAGTGGGAGCACGGTGGCGGCCGTCGCAAGGTGTGGGGAGAAGGACGTTACAGGGAGGGCTCGCGCACACGGGAGAGGCTTCAAGTCAGCAGCAATGTAAACAGTACGCAGCGCTTGTCTTGTGAATGCGTGCATCGGTCATGTCTGTGTGTGTGTCCTGGCACCTGGGTCTGTCCCGTGACCTCGTGCCAGCGAGCCTTCGATGCTTCACGTGGCCTAAAAGTGTACCTAGCCTGGCACAGGCGCCGTGGTGACGTCACCGCCACTGAGTGGCGAAAGGCGGCTGTTGTTGTTTCATCAACAGCACTGAGGAAGCTTTGTCGGTGACTAAAAAAAATACCTTGAAGTTGAGCTCAGGTGTTTCTATAAAGCCACTCTGTTAATGTCATTCCCATATCTGTGTATATAATAATAATAACAACGGACACTCCTTTGTTACTGCACTGCTGGGTGAAAGCGTCGCTTCACTGTGCCGGCCAGTGGAGTTGCTTCACCGTACGACTTCCCGGTGTGGATCTGTGAAGTGTGGGGCCCAGCACCAGTTCACATATCAGTTGATGTTAGCCCTGGATATGGGAATCTAACTCGGTTGGCTGGATTAATAGTGCATTGCGGTAATCACCGTGCTACTACTCCATTCATTCCAGTGTGCATGTGTTTGTATAAATAGGTGCTCGTTTGCAGCACTTGCCCCAACAGTCTGTTAAAGCTATTTGGGGCATCTCTGTCTTTGTCCTTTGTATAACCGTCCACAAATCATGTTCTGAATCGTGACAGTTTCCAGGCTTCATGGCAAAATATTTTCCGTGGATGTTTAGCGTTAAACTGTTGTGCAACGTGCGGTAAAGGTGTCGTACGTTTCGCGTTTGTCTGAGCCGCATGTTGGATCACGTTCAGTCGCTTGAAAGTTGTTTGCAAGTCTCCACCATTGCTGTAGGTAAGGCCTGCAGCCAGTGGCGTATGGGCATTGGCGATCACACGGATTTTATTTCCTGCAAAAACCCTGAAGCCTCGATATTTGTGGTTTGCACGTTCTCCCCGTGGTTGTGTGGATTTTTCTCGGGGTCCTCAAATTATTCCGTCCACATTACGAACATGCTTTTAGAGTTTTTGGCTACTATACATTTCCACATGATATGTCACTTTGTGAAGCTATCATTTGTGGTCGCCTCTGAAAAAGAGCTATATAGCTCATTGGGCTTTACGTGGTAAAATTCATAGCTTTTAAATAAAAAAATTAACAACGCTAGAAAACCGCGAGATCCCGCGTCGCTTACATTCCCCGTCGCATTTGCGTTTACGTTCGCAGACCTCGTGTGGACTCGAAACACGTGGCCGTCAAAAAACATTGGACAGTGAACAAAAATCGCCCTCCGAGCGAGCCTAACGCTCGAGCTCCCCAATCTGGCACGGACAACTTCAGATTCCCAAACGCGCACTCGGAAAGTCCGGCCGCCAAAACGATTAGACAACACGCAACAACAACAACAACAAACGGCCCTCGCGGTTGAATTTCCCATCCCCAGCAGTTGACGCATTTAAATTTGTGGACTCAAATGCCCAGCCGCCAGTGACACCACCAGTCCTGACTCCACCACCACCTCCCGCACTACGCAACCTCCCTACCCCCCTCCCTCCCCACCCTCTCCCCCAACCCCAATGGTTGTGGATTTTCCGGCACCCCAGTCCGTCCGCCGGCGGTCTTGCTGCTTCGTTGCCGGCGCTGAGCGAGCGATCCAGGCCGCGCGGGCCGCTGACAGACGCTGTGCGGCCCAGGCTGGGGAACTTGCTGCCCACACGACCCACTGCTTCATTTCAACAAGAGTTAGATGAGAGAAGGGTGGTGCAGGCAATAGAGAGAAGTTTAATTTGAATTAGATTTTTATGTTAATTATTATTAATTGAATTTCAGCTGATATTTGGTGCAACATTTTTTTTATTAATGCGGAAGCCCCTTGGGCTATTTGGTGCACTTAGCCTGTGCTTGCTTTGCTTGGGTCTGGCACTGCCGCTGATTGCGAGCATCTTAGCCGCATGTCTGTATGTTGAACTTCTTTCGCACTGCACATAGCCAACCGTGCTAATGGGAGGTGCGGGGGAAGGACAACAAACTAAACACAAAAAGCAGTTTTAAAGAAATGAGTTTTCAATCTCTGTCTGCTTTGGATATACGACGCGACACTGTTTTAGTGAGTGGAATTGAATAAGCAGGAAGCAGGTGCAGCCATTGCTTGAATGCGGTGAAGCTTGAGCCATGGTTACAACATTTACATTTATTGATTTGGCTGATATGCGTTAGTCTTGGATAACGGTCAGGTGTGTTGATGTGTGGTTGCCCGCCTAAGGCATTTGAATGTCTTCATCGGCCCTCGGTAAGGAAAGGATTTCCCACACATGGTATCCAATCATACTATTCAAAATCCAGCAGTTGCTGTGAGCGATGACTAAAACCCATCCAAGTGTACAGGCTGCAAACAAGTAACTAACGACACGCAGAGGTGTGCTGCAAACAATAATTACGGCCGCACTTTCGTTGAGCTCTCTCTTGAGTTGGCGGTCTCGACAAGGCTGTGAGAGCATTGTACCTGCAATCTGGTGGTCATATGGGAGGTTGGGGGGGGAAGGTGGGATGGGAATCGCGCCCTATTGGGCCGGTTGTGAGCAGCACGATCATTCACGTTGTCGGTGTTGTCGTTCCCCCACTGCGCGGTGAACGCGCCGCACGCCACCGTACCCTCGCGGCGGGTAGCGACAGGTTCCAGTCCGCGCGCGGTGTGGAGCGGTCAGTTGTACCGCCGCTGCCGCCTACTCTCTTTTTTTTTTTAAACTCCTCTCTCCAAGACTTACGTCGCAGGAAATCCCAGAACGGGACCTCCCGGGACCAAAAACTCGGCCAAGAATAAAACTCGGCCGTTTCCAAGGCTGTGCGGTTGTTTTTTTGCTAATTAATTCACTGTTATTTTGAGAGGGGGGGGGGAGGGGGCGGAACAGCCTATTTTGGACGGGACTTCAGCCGCGCCGATTTTATTTGTTTTTCCTGCCGCGGTTGCTATGCAGAAGAAGCCCCCGCGATCGGTAACGCACAGCTCACGAGAGCTCGCTGACGGGGCGGTAGCTTGAGAGGGGATCGCTGGAAATTGTGGCAGCTGCTCCGGACATTTGAAAATCCAAATGCAGACAGGGCGGGCTATAGAGTTATGGTTACAGGTGAATGGCCACAGCTGTTGTGCATGGTTACACTGTGTTACCCCCGGCCAGGCCCTTCCACCCAATACCGCGTTCCGCAACAGTCTTTGTTTCTCGTTACCTATTCGCTTTTGTTTTACTTTACAAAGGTTTTCTTATTTTGCACCTTCTCATCAACGCTTCCATTTATCCAATGATTACACGCAACAACAATGGCAAAAGTGTTCAATTTATATCGTGGCTGTATGCAATCGCAAACAAAGAAAAGCATCTACATGAGGGTAGGATGGGATTAGGGGGAGGGGGGGAGAGGGAGTATATCTCAGGACCAAGCGGTGATAGTCCCGTGCTGGGACATGCTCCAGCCATAGGAATGTGGAATTTCTACCTCTGGATCGTGGCTTGGTAAGCAAGGAATTGAGCACCGCCCGCATGGCTCCCGTCGCGATCGTTTACCCACAACCCCCCCCACCTCGCTGTCTCATCCTTTCTCCCTCGTCGGCGTGTCGTCCAGAGCTTGCACAATGCCTCCGATTTATTGCTTGTGTTCTTTGTGTTTCGTCTGTCCAAGCTTTTACCATTATTCATTCATATATATACGTACTTTTATGTTAATTTTTTTGTTCACTTTTTTACGGCGACCGTTAGCATGCTATTACCATAATTTTATATTTAAGTTACAACTTTCTCTGCACTCTCTGTGGTGCTTTGTGTGCTTTCGTTCCCTTTCACCTGCGTGTTTTCTCTCTCTTTGTTTCCACTTTTCTGTGCATTCCACCTCCCCCGTGTTTCTTTCCACCCCCGTCCACCCCCCACCCCACCCCTGCCTGTTTCGTCACCACGTCCGAGTCCTTCCTTACTTCCTTCGCCCGTCGCCCGCTCACCTCTCCCTAACTCCTCACCCCCCCCCATCCCCCCTCCAGTCCCCCCCCCACCTCCCCCCGCTGGACGTCGCCAGCGCCCAAGGTGGGGTCAGCACCCCTGGCCCAAGCAGCCCCAACGCAACCGGTCCCCAGTCCCCCTCGTCCCTATCCCCCTCCCATCATCGATCACACGAGCAGGGCGGCTCAAAGTCCCGGATGATGCCCTCCTTCAAGAGCCTCAAACGTGGGGTGAGTACAAACTCATCCGGCGCCGGCACACCCGGGCAGGGGGGGTGGGGGCCGCGGGCCGGAAACGTCTCCGGGCGAAGCCCCGGCGACGTGGGACGCGCGGAGCGGTGTGCGGCCGGCGAGTGATCGCGCTCGGGGTCAAAGGTCGAGGGCCGCCGTCACCACGACATTGCGCTGCCGCGTCCCGGGAGGAGCGAGCGCGCCGTGCCTTTGATCCTCGGAGTGCGAGATGATTTTCGTTGTTCTTGTTGTTATGTAGAATGCGAGACTTTTAAAGGAAGATTGCGATCCTCAATACTGCACACAAACAGGGGGGGTGGGGTGGTAGGGGACTTGTTTTGAAGGTACCCGCACAGACCGAGCTGTCAATCAAGCGCGAGCCCCGACGCTCCGCCCCACGTGGACCGTTCAGAGTCTTGGCCCAAGACCTCCCGACTTCCTCCCCTGCCCTTGGTGGCCTCCTGTCCCAAGCTCACGCACGGCCCTCTGCGGGTCGCGGAGGGGATATTTCAGCCGTACTTCACCACGCTGGTCAGCGTGGGTTGGTGAAGGCGGGGAGCACGGACGTGAGCGCACGGGGAAGCCCAGCACAACGGCGGCCGTTACTGCACTGGCGCTCAATGCGTAGCCCAGTGGCTTAGAAAACCTGTTATGGCGCGGCGCTCACCCTCGCGAGCACTATCCAGACTCAAGGCTGCTTAGATTCAGAGGGCCAGCTCAGGTGATTTGGTGCGAAAGTTCCTTTTTTAATTCGCCGTCGTGTTAAAGTCTCGTCGAAGTATTTTATTATCCACAGAGTACAATCCGCACGCCTCTCGAGTCGAGTCTTCCTTTAAACTCGCCGCGTTTCTCGTCCGCCGCTCTCCGTCCTGCCGGCGCTGAGTACTCCCAATCGGTCGCGCCCGTCGAGTGAAGTCAGTGCCCCCCCTTCTCTGTGTGCCGCCCCCTTCCCCCACCGCCCATCCTACCTCTCTCCGCGCCCCGTCACCCCCCCGGACACCACCACCACCACGATGACGATGACGCCGGCTACACGGGGCTGGCCGGCGGGGGGCGGCTCAGCCAGGCGGACGGCCCCGTAGCGACGGCGTGGGCGCGCCGGCGGCGCCCGCTAAGCGCCGCCACCCAGAGGCGCTGGTTGCCGCCCTAGGCAGGCCGACGCACGCACGAGAAGCGCGCCGGTACCTCGTAAGTGAGGGGCGGTCGGTTGGTCAGGCGGCAACCTCCGGTGACCGTCCCACGCCGACAATCTGGACGCCCGCGCCCATTCTCGGCCGCTTACGCACGCATCCGTGCCGCGACACCACGGACGAGAACTAGAGGGGGGGAGGGCATGTGACGAGCGGTGGTGCCGCGGTTAGTTTAGGGATTGTCTTGCGAGAGCCTTCGCCCCACCCGGTCCAATCGCCGCACTCCCGGCGGTGCGCGCTTCGATGTAAAGGAGAATCTGATGGGTCGAATTAACGACATTCCCCTCCAGCGTCCCGCGATCGTTACGAGCATCACCGCTCGCGCACCGCCCGGCCCTCTCTGCCGTTTGTCCACCGCGCGCGAAGCCGCGCTCAGCCGGTTTCGCGGCACGGCTTCCCGCGTCCGTAACATACCGCCCGTTACTGACGCGGTTGGGCGGCCTTGTCGGTAACGTGGTTGGTGACGCGTCGTGACGGAGGCTCTCTCTTTCACTCTCTCGCCTTCCACAGTTGCAGCCTCCGGTGTCCGGCAAACATCCGGGGAAACTGATGGGAAAATAAAAATAAAATAATTGGAAGCATCAGGAGGTGACTGGCTGGGTGGGAGGTCTGAGCGCTGGTGCCGCTGAGCTAGGCCGTGGCCTGTGATTAAAGCGTGTTTTCATGTCATATTATTATTACTACACTTGTCTATCCAACGAGTCTCATGACTCTCTTTCAAAGAGGGTCCTGCCAAGTTTTCTGAGTACTGGGCGGTGATTGCAGTGTATCTTCCAAATGAGTAATTGGCAGGGATTAATTTTTCAAATTTGGCACATTTTGGAGCGCGACGCCAACACGCAATGACCTCCTCCTTGTGCGAATGACTTCACGTCCACCGTGAAACAGACGGCGCATACTATTTTTAAAGTTTCATGCACACACACACCCGCAGTATTAATTGGGGTGGCCGGCTGGATTCAAAACGTAAATCTCCGTAAGCGAGCGGCGAACTTGCTGCCGCCGGTGCGATGTCACCGCTGCTCAGTGTAGCGAGTAGATGGTCCCAGCCCCCGGTCACCACTGATGTCACACACAAAAAACAAAAACCCCATCACTTTTAAATATGGTTTTGATCTTAATTTGCCTAAATTCTTGCTCTGATTTTTCAAACAACGGTCTGACTGTCACGCGACAAACGCGCTCCGCTCCCATGGCAGAGCTGGTGGGAAATTGCTGCCCTCTGCTGCGTGTGGACCCAGGTCACTTGTAAGGGATCCAAGAGGTGGCTCTGTGATATCCGCTTCCGTGGGGTCATTCGCTCGCACGAGGCGTTGCACTGCCCAGCGAGCGTTCGGAATGGATTCCTTTCCTCGTGACACGAGACCGAACACACAATTAGGACACAGTTGTGTGAACGTTAACAGATTATTTAATAAAATCTCCAGCGTGTACAACTTCAAAAGTGACCTCACCACCATCATTAACGGTGTGCATTCGTTATGGAGAAACGTGCGCTCGGTTTTACCGGCGCTGACCGCTCACCTCGTTTTCGTTGCGTTTTCACATCTGTACGGAACCGTGGCACAGAAACCCCTTAGAGGTGCCAGTGGCCACAGTGAGCGGTCGTGGAACGCACCCCAAAGGCGACAGCCGCCCCTCTCTGACCTTTTATCCATACACGGGGCTGCGTGCGTACCCTCCTCCCACCGAGCTCTCCGTTAAACGCTTGGCGCTTCGTGAATGACAATCGAAGACTTTAAAGTTTGTGACGTCACCACTACGTGCTTCGCTGCAGTGACGTCACACTGCTATACCAGACTTCTGAAAGTCACTTTAAAAGTCTTTTTTTTTATCCTTGACGAACCTTCAAACGTTTGTCGGGCAGCTCGGAAAGCACGCACCACAGGTGGAAAGTATCTACAAGATAAGAGCTGTAATTGTAATGTTTTTGGGGCGGGGAGGGGGGTGCAATTGGTGGTTGTATTTATTAGTTTCAGGGGCAGGAACCAATTTCCTTGTTCCCGCGCCAGAAACTTTGGCCCAGATTCGCGTCTTGCCGAAAATGTCGGAGCACAACGACGACGCCGCGTTGGCCACTTTGCTGCGCCGCCGCCGCTGTCGTCGTCGTTGTTGTTGTTGACGGGAGACGCGGGGCGCGGATTCACTCAACGTCGGGTGAAAGTCGCGTTCCCGTCAAAAGACTCGTCGAATTGGGACGGTCGAGGCTGTGGCTGCACGGTCGGATGAGTGAACCGTGTATGGCTGCCATGGGACGGCTCCCATTGCTTGTGGGATCAGCGGGGACATCGCTCTCATCCACGTGCACCGCCGGCGGTCGGCTGCTACGATTCCAATCGTCCGCGCTTTTTCCCCCGCGGATGAGAGGAGGAGTCGCGTGGCAAATCCATCCTATTGTCCGCGTTTATCGTCACGTAGGAAGCCGCGTAACCGAGTCTTGCGGCTGTTAAATTCCACGAGCCGCGTTTATCCGGCGGGCGGTCGCGCCGATTTCAGAGGAGTTTATGCGGATAATAGGATCTGCCGATGGTGCCCATCAGCACGGACAAGGGGCCATTTCATTTTAACTGTTGTGTGTGCGCGCGCGTGATGGTTGCATGCGGCTCAAGGGTGTGTAAAGGCGCCTTCATGATATATGGAGAGAGAGGAAAAACGCCATCAGCATGTTTCCTTATGCAGCGCCGCATATATATTTAAAAAAAAAACATCTGTGCTTACATCCTGCGGTGAAACCCAGGTAAGTCACATTGCCAAGCATCATGTGTGTGTGAAGCAACAGCACAATTTGTCATAACGTGAACTTCCCCTTAACTCAGCCCTCTTTGCATCTCGGCTGTGCGCAGAGCCCGCGACTGTTTGATGAATCGTTCGCAGTTCGAGCGATTCATCAAACACCCCCCTCTACTGGCAGCCAAGCGTCCACTTGCAGGCCGGGGCTACGTTCATCTTGTGCCTCGCAGGGACAGCTGCCCACGGGGGGGGGGGGTTCCCCTTCGCTCAACTGCCGCAGGGCACCTCGAAATGCACTGCATGGGGTATCAAGTGAGGGCGATGATTGTTTGATGATGATGATGATGACGACGACGATGATGCTAGTTTTAGAAATGACAGCGAATTTATTTTGCCTCCTGTACCCCCCCCTGCCCCCTACCCTTCTGTATTTTTGTTTTACATGTCTTTGTTTTTTGTTCCTTGAAACGCAAAGCTTTCAATGAAGCTGGTAAGAAGGCCCCTTTGTGGTGTGCTCCGCGCTCTGCGTGTAACCCTTGCATCGCTGTGGTCCGTGGGGATGTCACCGCGCGAAGTCCCAACGATCCGTCTTAAAAACCGGGCGCCCACCCCCAGTCCGCTCGTGGATCGTGCAGAGGTCCCGGGGCGCTGTCGCGGAGTCCCGATGCCCCTTTTTTTTACGTTTATTTAAAGGACGTTGTAACGACAGAAATGTAGTTTCGGTGAAGCCCTTTTGACGATCCGCTGCCCGGATGAAGGCCTCCCTCACCATGCTGTGTCGCTCACGGGAGTTGTTTTGCCGTACTTCTTCACCGCGCCGATCAGTGCCGGCTGGTGCAGACGCAGTGGTCAGCAATGCTCTCAGGACGGTTTCGGATCCCGCTCGCTACTGGTGACCGTCATTTGAACTCGAACACGTGCAGCCCATTCGACTGTCCACTGATGGATGAAGGCCTCCCCACACCGTGCAGGCAGCAAGGATTTTTATTTGACTATACTTCGCCACGCTGCGGGAGTACAGAACAACAGTGGATTTTGCTGAATTGTCCTCTGCTGCCCACAACGCTGACTACCGTACCTGCCTGTTGCGCACGGTCACCTAATCTCCAGGCTCAAGCCCTCCTTGCCCAGGTCGGACGAGCTCGGGCGCATCCCGGCCGAATTGGCCGGAGGCAAACCGAGGTCACGGGGTTCACGACGCGGTGCGCTGTCCACTGCGCCAGTCGAATTGGAATGTTCGCGTTGAGACGCTCAGTGCTGTGACATCCCCCGTAGTGCGTCGGGGCTGTTGCAGTTTGAATCCGGGCCGTTTGAGCCTCTTCCCTCCCCACCCCATGCTCAGATGAAACTGCATGGCTCTCCGGGTTCCTCGGGTAACGTAGAGTTTTTCCGCACCCTCATCCTCGCTAACGCCGATAGCGAGATGCCTGCGTGTGCACTTCCTCATTCATCCGCGAACCAGGCTTCTTCTTCACCCGTGTGCCAACGACTAACCGGACCGCCTCCCCCCACCCCCGCCCGCCCCCTAAGTCCATCGGCAGCGTACTTCCAACGCACGGCACCCCATGCGCAAAGTAACGGCGGTAGTGCTAGAAAAAAACGCGACGTCATCACACGCTTGAATGCAGAGAAAACTCGTTTTCTTGAAATGTGTACAAAAAAAAAGAGCGAAATAATATCTCTTATTCCCGGCGACAAGTCTTCTCCAGGATGTGTCCCAAAGGTAGGCACGCTCACAAGCGACGGCGGCGTCAGGCTCCGTAATGCTCGCGACTCATTCACTCGGTTCAGCGGTGAGAGTGTAGTGCGCTCTCGGATTATGATATCGTTTAAATCATTGTTACGTAGGTTGCTCGTGGTAGGAGCACAGCTCACAAAGTCGTGCGGCCTCTCTGCCGAACGCTGTCCAGTCGAGAATAAAGTGGCTTCTCATGGCTGCGTGGTCCTGGTTAACGTGCGGTCGTGGAGTTTGAGTCGCGTGATATTATTATAGTTATTATTCCCTCATGATGGGCTTCTCTCGTCACTTACACATCTGATTGCTCTAACAGTTCCGAGTGCCGCGCTTGCGCACACGCTCGGGGTTACGTAATTATGCATTTATTTACAGTTTAACCTTGTCGCCGTCCGTGTTTCCCACGTCCCGACTCAGGGCGTCCCAGCCGAGGACTTCAGTCACCTGCCACCCGAGCAGCGGAGGAAGAAGCTGCAGCAGAAGATCGACGACCTGAACGGCGAAATCAAGAAGGAGGTCGACCAGAGGTAACGACGCGTCCAGAGGATTCGGGACAGACGGCCTCGTCCGTCGTCTTCCGTGACAACGCAATCATCGCCCCCCTCCCTACTGGCAGTCTTCGTGCCGCCAGGTCACGCTCGCTCGCAAACGAGACTCCATCCTGGCCTCTCGAGTCATTTGCGCCCGGTTAAACAGCCTCAACGTCGGCGTTGCGCGACCGTCGTGTGTGTGTGCGCCCCCGCCCCCCTTATGTTGACGCGGTGCCCCGATCTGTCTCGCAGAGAGGCGCTGCTCAAGATGAAGGACGTCTACCTCAAGAACCCGCAGATGGGAGACTCCACCAGCCTGGAGCCCAAGCTGTCCGAGACGGCGCACAAGATCGACAAGCTCCAACAGGAAGCTCAGAAGTTTGAGGTTAGCACCGGCTGTGGCGCTGTGAAGCCAATAAAATCGGTTCACCCGACAAAATCACCGATCGGCGATCTGCCCATATATGGAAGGAAGTAGGCATGGTGTTGTCCTTAGGGGCATGTCCCTGCCCATATATCGTCTTGTGAAACCTGGATGGGGCTTGTCGATTGTATCAATTCAGCTCGCAGTCGATCCGACAGGCTCATTAGAGGATCGATTCAACGAGGGTTAATCATTGCGTCGACATGTCGGCGAGCGATCCATGGATCGAGTAATCCCATTGGCCTGTGCAGGGCCGTGTGAAACGCCCCCTTTTTTTGATTGGATAATATCTGCACGATCGGTGATTCGCTCGCAGTCCGTTTTTAGCGCAAACCATAGGCGCTCGTGCTGACATGCGTGCGGGCAGTTGTGTACAAACATTTGAAAGGGAAAATTCTTCAAACATGCCAAGGGTTTTTGTTATTTATTTTAGCAAGCTGTCTTTTTGGTAAGAATTATATTTAAACGTTCCCCTGGTCCTCCCTTCACGCGATAAGGCCTTTTAATTTAGCCAGGAAATCCACGCCGAGGAACAAGGCTGCTCTTCAGGTGGTTCCTACGACATTGGGACGTTTTGAGCAATTCCCTTGATGATGTTTGGTAGAGTGAAGATGACCACTGTCAACCTACAATACCTGGCTCACCCAGGCAGCCTCACATCCAAGTACTAACCAGGCTCAACGCCTGCTTAGCCTTCGAGGTGTGACGATATAGGTCACACTCATTGGGCTCCCTATAACTCTGGTTATAAAGACAGTACATCCATTCACACAAATAGAAAGTTTTACCAATATATTTGATTGAGTTTTTTTTCCCCCATAGAATTACAAACCACCTTCGCATGCACGCTCGCAAACCGCCAAAATCGAGGCTGTGTTTAAAGCTCCGATCGGCACTAATTGTGCACTTGTTTTAGAATTTGACAGCAGAAAAATATCGACTCGTATTTCGCGCACAAGATTCTGGTTATTCGCTAGGCTTTATACGAGCCTCGGCCGTTCTTGTGGCACCGTTGCTGGAGTCTACGACCATCAACTCGCAGCCATTTTAATCACGGGCCAACAAAATCCCCGATTCAAACCGGCGAACCTCGGCGCCGAGACCCCCAGTAACACCCGGACACCTCTAACATTCGCTCTGAGGTCTTGTATTCCGATCGCAAATGCCACGCGAGTTGGGCACAGCGCGTGCCCCGGTGATTGAAATTGCGGGTCGTGCTCCAGCAGCAGCTGCGTGCGCAGCCTTGCGTGGCGTACGGCCTGACCGCTTTGTCCGCTTATTCCGTTCTGTTCCGTCCATCAGAACTGGCTGGCGGATGCCGAGGGACGCATGCCTGCGCGCGTCGACGGCCCCAAGCGGAACAGCGCGGCGTACGATCGCAGCAGCATCGTGGTGAACAACGTCGTCAACAATGGCTCGCAGGACAGAGAGAGGTAGATAGCATCTAGCCCGGCCACCTACTCACCCGGCCACGTACTCACCCAGCCACCTACTCAACCAGCCACGTACTCACCCGCACACCTGCTTACCCAGCCACTTCATCATCCAACCACCCGGCCAAGTACTCACCCAGCTACCTACTCACTCAGCCACTTACTCGCTGGGCCACCTACTCACCCTGCCACCTACTCACCCAGCCATCCGGCCACCTACTCACCCGGCCACCACAATCACGTGACTTCATCCCTTGATGTCTATACAGCAAGTACCCCTCTGTGCAAAGTCAGGGTTTATTATTTTGGAATTTCTCGCTCCCACCGTAGGAATGAGGAAGTTCCACGACTGGTTGAGGACTGTAAACAGGATGTAAGCAGTGGCCCGCACTTGTTTCAGCGAGTAGACCACTTCACCTCTTGACTTGGGTAAAACGCTCCATCCCAGGCTTCGTTTGTCATTTGTTGAATTATGGGCACAATAGACGGTGAGTAGGTGGAAGTGGTGAGTAGGTTGCAGGGTGACTGAGTTTAGTGGTGAGTAGGTGGCATGGTGAGCAGATGGTGTGGTGAGTCAGTGGGGTGGTGTGGTGGCGAGTGAGTAAGTGGCAGGCTAGATGCTATCTACCTCTTCCTCCGCCCGTGACTTGGCTAAAGCGCTACGGCTCACAGAGCGTCCATAGCAATGATACAAACACGTTCAAACGCAGGCGTTTGCTAGAGTATGTTTTTTTATCACGTGTGAAATGTGCGCTGACGCAGGTTATCGCACTCGCTCTGCAGCCTGGGTGGAAGCTGGCAGCTCTGCTTCACGTAGATAAATTTTCCACGGAAATAGGAAATGGCTTTGAGCCACCTCGACCTAACGTACACACGGCTCACCGCCTGTGTGTGAAACCCTCGCCCCCCCTCCCCGTTGATAGTCAGCATTTCAATCGGTGATTTATCTCAGTGTTCCGGCAATGCCCCGGAGGGAACCTGACTGCAATCACATTTACTAGTCGCACCTTCGACCTCTGCCAGTGGTTCTCAGAAGGTGGTCTGCGACTTTCCTCCAGGTGGCCCGCGGTGGCTGTGGTGCAAGCTCAGGTTGACCCGGACAGAAATGACAAAGGTCACACCTTTTGTTTCGGACGTGAATTAATATTTTACTCGTGATATTTAATTAAAACAATTCAGTTTGGTAAACTACCGTGATTAAACTACCCGAACCCCTAAGATCTAAATGCCCCTGCTAACAAAAATAAATGAAACTTCTAGTTGTATTAAAAAATGTGTATATATATGTTCCGGTAATATTCATAATTTAGTATTCGTGGTATTTAGAGCAAAGTGAATGTCTTTTGTCACCCAGCGGTGGGGCGCGGGGGGGGAGCTGGGTGGTCCGCAGAAATCTTTGCATCGACAAGAAAAACCCTCAATCAAATAAATTGCTGAAAGCTCTCTATTCGTGCGAATAGATGTACTTCATAAGCAGGGTTATCGGGAGCCCAGTGAGGCTGGCTAGTCCGCGGGCCAAACCAGTTTGAAAAAATATCCCCCCGACGTCCCTTCTCTCACCCACTTTCAAATATCACCAGTTGAGCGCGTGTGCTTTCACGAGCGGTGTGCTTCAGTAGAAACTAATTGGCACGGTTTTTTTGACGCGACAAACCTTACTAATTGGCTGCGTCAGGTGGCGGGTTTAACGACACATATTTACACGATCTAACCCAAAAAAAAAAAACTCATGGATCACCATCACCACCTCTCCCTTCCCCTCCGTCCGTGTGGCCCGTGAGGAGCTGGGATTAGAGATGTAAGTGGCTGAGCCATTTGCTTGCTTTGTCCGAGAGTTGGCGGACCGATTCCTCCTGCTAGGCCTCAAAGCAACGCTCCTCCTGAACCCTGGCACCGATTTATTTCCGTTGGCCGTATGTCGTTTGCTCCGGGGCACGTTAAATTGTTGCCAGAGGCAGCTTGCGGGCCCTGTAGTTGTGACATTTTGAACACGAGATTGACTTTAAACTGTTGCCCGTTGCGGAAAGAAAGAGCGTGATAAACAGGGGGTGTGTCGCTCGGAGGGTGGCGGAGTGCGGGGAGAGTGGTGGGGGTCAAAGGTCACTGCGATGCGGTGCCTTGGCATTTCCTGTCTCTTTGCTTTTTAATCAACGGCCGAGTCCTAACCGTAGCCGTGGAGCATGGTCCGCCGAGCATGGTGGGACCGGCAGGGAGGAGGCGGGCTCGCGAGCGGCGGCTCACCCGAGGTCTCGCGATGGTGCTGTTGTTGAAAGAGAAAGCGGGAAAGCGATCCGGTCCCATTGCCCCCGGGGGGGTCGGGGGGGGCTGCCCCCGCCCCGCTGCCCCCGCCCCGCTGCTCGCGAGCGACAGGGAGAGAGGCGCGAGGCGGCGAACAGAGACGGCGTTGTCTTGCAATGGCAAATTCACCGCGCTGGTTACACTCCTCTATGCACCGTGCACGGCAATCACCGGCCCCTAAGTGCTTCCCGGGGCTCGCTCGATGATTGTTAATCGCAGCAGCAGCAGCGACAGCAGCAGCGGCTGTGCTTGCTCAGCGTGAGTGGTGTGGACGAGGTCAGCGGCTGTGTCGGTAAATGCTGACCGTCCGATCTCAATATTGCAGGGTCTGCACGAGTGCAGTGCAATGCAATTGGGAGTTATAAATCGTATGAATGTGACCGCATCTCACTATATAAGTCGGGGAAATGTGGTCATCTAGAGTTGACAAACCAAGTACTATACCGCCTGTGCTGGACATCTGTGATAAAGAGCTTCCTAGCTCATCGGATTTCTCCAGGACAAATGAATATTTTGATTCTCTCATTCTGCCCAGGCTCCTGCTTAGTATTCTGAGATCTGAGTCGATGGGGTAGATTCCGGGTGATTTAGTCACGGGATTTATCTCAGGTGGGGGGGGGGGCCTGGACACCCACAGTGGCCCAGCCTCATACGGCGAATGCCGATGTGTTTGTAGGCAGGTGGGACAGGATGTGCTTGTGCCATTGACTCATGGAGTCAGCAATGCTGTGGTTTCATCACAGGGTGTGTGTGTGTAATGTTACCGTGTGCCTGTGTGTGTGCGTGTTTGTCGTGCGGTAGTGCAGCGCTGAGAACCCGGCGATTCCCGCTCACGGCCAACACCAGCGATGATTCTTATCAGAACCGGTCCTGGGTATCCCCTAGGTTGTCTCAGCCTTTAATGAGTAGCTGGTTGTGGAGTGTAAACATCGCCTCTAAGGGAGACAAAGGTGTCCAAGCGTAGTGCTGGCCACCCACCGCCTCGTGTGCGGTGCCCGCCTTCATTGCTGTGACTCACTAACGGCACTTGTCCCAACAGTGTTACAGGCTATACGGGGCATCTTTGGCTTGTGTACCTGCCGTGCGTGTGTAGAGCGGTAGTGTAGTGCTAAGAACCCAGCGATTCCCGCTCACGGCCAACACCAGCGATGATTATCTGAACTGGTCCTGGGCCTCCCCTAGATCGACTCAGCCTTAGATGAGTAGCTGGTGCGGTGTGTGGTCATCGCCACTGGGGGAGATGACTGTGGCCAAGTATGGTGCTGGCCACCCACCGCCTTGTGTGCCGTGCCGGCCTTCATAGGTGCTACTCGCTCACAGCACTTGCCCCAACAGCCTGTTACGGCTGTAAGGGGGTTCTTTGTCTGTGTACTGTGCACGTGTGTGAGGCTCCGTGAGAGGGAAGAGAACCGCTCCGCACAACGAACCCGGCGACCCGAGTCCCACTCCCGGCCGCGGCTAACGTCGGTAACGGGAGCTCCCCTAGGTCGACTCAGCCTTAAATGAGTACCTTGTGCGGTGTGTAAACATCGCCACTGGGGAGACGAAGGCAGCCGGGCGTGGCATTGCCTACATCACCCCCTCGTGTGCCATTCCAGCCGTCATCGGTGATCGCGTTAACAGAACCTGCCCCCACCAGTTTCTGAAGGGGAACCTTTGTCTCTGTGTAAGATTTAAGGATTTACTCCTCTGTCTGTGACTGACTGCATCTCCGTCTAAAGTAATCGCATGCCCACCGTTGCCGTACGCCATCTTCAGATGCTGCTGCATCCCACGTGGACTCGATGTTATTCTCAACATTTTTCCGCTGCTGTTGAATTGTCCGCGGGGAGCGGTGGTGCAGCGACGCACGCACTGCACTATGAACGTGGCCACCTTGATGTTCGATTCACGCTCACCGATAATCACATCGATGCCAAGTGACGCCTGAAGTCAGTGCTGCCCTCCGCTAACTTCTGCCAACCGCGCTGACGAGCGCGGTGAAGTATGGTCAGCGACACGCCTGCGAAGGCTCTTGTCCAGCAGTGGATTGCCATTGGGGCTGTTGCAATGTGTACACAAGCCATCCTACGTGTAGGTGTAGACGAAGCTTGAGTTTTATTGGTCTGAATCACGTCGAGGAATGCTGTTTTACATGTTTTATTGCCTCCCTCTCTCTTATCCTACAATATGCGTTCAAAAGGCTTTGTTGCTGTGGAATCCTGGCGGGGGATAGTGTGGGTGGCAGTAGTGGCGTGTGCCCCCTAGCAGCACTTGCCCCAACAGTATGTGCAGGCTATACGGGGGATCTTTGTCTGTGTTGTCCTCTGTACAGTACTTGCATGCGTATGCCTCCTGCTGCTGCTGGGGATGCCGTCGTTGTTGTACGCACTCAGTTGAATATGGGTGGGCAGCTTTCATGGAAACATTTTCCATTGATTTGTATCGAGTTGGCTCCGTGCTCCTCGTAATAAATAACACAAAGGCTGACGCCCTTCGTGTGGGCGTGCATGGCGCAGCAGCACGCCTGAGACCCGGGGGGCGCTTCGTGAGCTGGTGGGCTACGTAGAGATCCGGGCGACGTCCAAACCAAACGGGGCTGCGAGAGGTGGTGGCCCTGGTGACAGCGGCCAGCAAGCGGGAGTCTCCGCGTGGGGCCCTTTAAGTGCGTCCGCAGTGGGCGTTTTTCTCTCGACTTCCCACACGAAGTAAACAACCAAAGACAAAGATCCCCCGTATCGCCTTAATGGACTGTAGGGGCAAGTGCTGTTAACGAGCACCTATAAAGGCCGGCACGGCACACGAGGGAGTGGGTAACACCACGCCCGGCCGCCTTTGTCTCCCCAGTGGCGATGTTTACACATCGCACCAGGTACTCATTTGAAGCTGAGTCGACCTAGGGGAGGCCCAGGACCGGTTCAGATGATCGTCACTGGGTGTTGGCCGTGAGCGGGAATTGAACGCGGGTTGCCAGGTTCGTAGCGCAGGGTAGCGCTAACCGCTGCGCCACCGCTCCCCACACGAAGTCAGATCACTCGTTCACATGGAATTGGCCCTCCTCAAAAAGCATTCCTGATACTCGTTGTGGCTTTCCTGGACAGATGGATAGATACGTGACTGGGATTGGTGGCGCGGTTCAGGCCACACTCCTTTATTCGTTGCCTCGATTTGGCACGTCTCGCGCTTTCGTCCACTTTGTCTGCATCTGCCCTCTGGTGGCCATCTACGGGCCTACACGTAAACCTCCCCTGCACGCGCCCGATCTCATCGTAACGCGGATGATGATCAGCAGGGGTTTGGGCCTGGTTATGGTGCTAGGATGGGTGGCCACCAGGGCTCGCCAGGTGTTGGTGTCGGCGTGTGGCCAGGAGACGGCAGTGGTGAGTGTCATCACGCCCGTGTGAGCGCGTGGGATTTCACGCAACGTTTCCACGTTGGTCGTGTTTAAAAAATAAAAATGTCTTCTCTGCCTAAATGTGACATTATCACGTAGTCGCAACAATAATGCGTCTAGTCGCAATGGAGGGAGGGGAGCGGCGGGGGGGTAAATCTATTTGTGACCGCTGGCCGCCACGACCCCAGTGACGGGTATTCAATTTGTGTGTCACCCTCCCCCTACTCACAGCCTCTTCTCGGCAAAGACAAAGATCTCCCCTATAGCCTTCATAGAGTGTTGGGCAAAGTGCTGTTAGCGAGTAGCACCTATGAAGGCCAGCACTGTGGCACACGTGGCGGTGGGTGGCCAGCACCACGCCTGGCCGCCTTTGTCTCCCCAGTAGCGATGTTTACACATCACACAGGGTACTCATTTGAGGCAGAGTCGACCTAAGGGAGGCCCAGGACCGGTTCAGATAATCGTCACCGGTGTTGGCAGTGAGCGGGAATCAAACCCGGGTCACCGGGTTCCTAGCGCAGCGTAGCACTAACCGCCAAACCACCGCTCCCCACCAGACAGCAGCACACACAGCACACACAGCACACACACAGCACACACACAGTACACACACAGCACACACACAGCACACACAGCAGCACACACAGCAGCACAGGCGGCGCAGCAGCGAGCGCCATCTTTCTCACCTGAGCGCCGCGCTCTGGTTGTGCCGTGCTCTGGTTGTGCCGCGCTGTGGTTGCGCCGCCGTTGCCGCTGTGCTATAGTGTCCGCTCTCGGGCCCCCTCCCCACACGAGCAGTCCGGACGGCAGCTACACGGAGGAGGCCCCCCCGGAGGGCACGCCGGCGCCCCCCGCGCCGCGTCAGCCCGACCCGGCGGCGCCGGTGGCCCACGGCGGCGGCGGCACCACCGCCACGACGGCGGCGCAGGTCGACTCCGGCGGGGACTTTGACGACGACGACTTTGAGGACGAGGAGCCGCTGCCCGTGCTCGGACGATGCAAGGCGCTGTACCCCTTCGACGGTGAGGATGGGTCCTTCATCGAGTTCCCTTGCGGTGTCGCTCCATTTCCCTGTGTCTGTGCCCGTCGCTTGAGTCTCTCAACTGAGATGGTTTCCGCACCGGTGCGCTGCTTGGCGTTGGACGTCCCAGTCAGGTCCGTGGCCCTGCTATTCCCAGAACACCTTCCAGTGTTCCACCAACCCAACATGTCCTACCCATGCTCCCTCTGCTGTCCTCAACAATCGATCTGATGTCTAATACCTGTGTGTGTTCTCTAATCCACGTGTTTCCCTTTCTGTGTCTCATTATAATCACAAACATGCACCCTCATGAAAAGGAAAATAGCAGTGCACCTGAAGATGAACTGTTTTAATCAGTGCATGTTACTTGTACTGACAGACCAGGATCCGGTCTTTAATGGCAGGACCAGGATCTGGTCTTTAATGGCAGGACCAGGATCTGGTCTTTAATGGCAGGACCAGGATCTGGTCTGACTCAGTAGGACCAGTACCTGGTCTGTCACGGCAATTCTAACTGCAATGTTTTGTTTCCCACCATTCGGAAAACAGAGCCACGAGACGCTACCACCATCGTCAATCTTGGCCACCTCCTTCTCGTCCCCGTTGCCTCCTGTGTAACTTTCTGACCCGCCCCTTCTGGACATCTGTGAAAGAGAGCTTCGGATTCCTGCAGTGTAAATAGATATTCCGATTCTGCTCGCGACTGCCAGGCAACAGCGAGGGCACCATCGCCATCACAGGAGGAGGAGCTCTTCCAACTGGTGGAGGAGGACAAGGGCGACGGGTGGACGAGGGTCCGGAGGGCCAACGGAGAGGAGGGCTACGTGCCCACGTCCTACCTGGAGGTCACGCTCGATCCCGTCGCAGCAGCAGCAGCAGCCGCCGCCAAAACAGGTGCTGCGAGCGGAGTTCAGCTGCGTGCCTGCACCTACATCTAAAACAAGACAAAAACTTTTATTATTATTTTACCAGGTAAGGCCCACTGAGCTATGAAGCTCTTTTTCAGAAGCGACCTGCACACAAATGATGGCTCAACAAAGTGGCTTATCAAGTGGAGATTTATAGCAGCCAAATACTCTAAACGCGTGTTTCTAAATGTGGAGGGAAAAACCGGAGGACCCGGAGAAAAAACCACTCGACCGCAGGGAGAGACACACGCAAACTCCATATATACAGGCGTCGCGGTCGGAATGGAACCCACGATCTCCTGCATACCAGGCGAGGCAGATAACATCTCGCCATCCGTGGCACTCCACAGGCCTCGCGCCTGTGCCGCACAATGCATGTGAATACGAGACGGTGGTCCTTAATAAATGACGTCACGGAGCAGCAGTCCTTAGTCGCCAGCATGCGGCTCCGGGGGCGGAGGTCACCGGTCTCTGGACTTGGTTCACGCTGCTCGATTGTCACCCCAACCTCGCGGTGCTATTGTCACGATTGTTTAATCGCAAGGCGGAGGCAGGGTTGCGATTCAGTTCAGGAGAATTCCATCCATAATGGAAGGGTGGGGGGGGGGCGGGTAGGGGCGGCACGATTACTCTCGTGAAGGTGATTCAACGTGAACCAAACTGTCGGAGAAGTTCAACATACGTGAAGCCGTGTTGCTGTTAGGGATTCAGCCGATTGAAAACGAGCCACGTTCATCAAAGGACCTTTTTTAAATCTTGGAGACACAAGCCAAAGCGATATTGACCTCTGTAAATAGGTGATCGTGTACGGTATTGCATTGGTAGGTTATCCACGTTTTGGCATAATTTTTCCGAACTAGTCCTTTTGGCGTTGTAGTCGTTTTTTACATTTTGGCCTCCAGTGGTGTCAGGGTTAAACGGAAAGGCCGTGGTGCTGGCCACCCACCCCCTCGTGTGCCGTGCCGCCCTTCATAGGTGGTCGTTAACAGCACTTGCCCCAACAGTCTGTGCAGGCTACACGGGCGATCTTTGTCTCGGTTTTGCCCCCTACCTCCCTTCCTGTGTGGCCTCCCGTTGTGTTCCATCTGGCTTCGTCGTTTCACCCTCGTCCCCTCTACGTCTGGCATTGCAGCTCAAGCAGCCTGTCCCCACCAGTTTCTATCCTGTCTGGCGCTCTGCCTTAATCAGTGAATGTTACTTATGAACACAGCCTCTTTATGCGACTAGTTTATTCATCTTATGATAGCTTTTCCGTCCTCCTGTCTAGCACATCAAACACGAATTAAAACCGTGTTCAAGAAGGGCTTAGAGAGCCAACTCGTTTGATTCGACGATTACAGTTGTGGCAATATGAAAGCGACATTCTCCTGAATTTTTCCAACCTCCCCCACAAAAAATGATGGCCTAGAGGTTGATTTGCCAGTGAACCAAGTAATACGCCACCCATGGGGTGTGATACTAAAGCCGGTGGAAAGCAGTCCAACGATACGAGTAAGTGCCTGCCGCTAGTATGGTACGGGAATACCACGTCACTGATCGGATATCGTTGCACAGTTGGTCTGAGCACACGACTCGCAATCACACGGTCCAGCCACCGCTGGCATTCATGAGCTGCAATCAGGAGAATGCACATCTCCCCCACACGGGGTTTGGGCGGAAACCTCACGTCGATTTAACCTCTCTCCACGTGCACACCGCTGTTCCTGTTGTTTCCCCTCCACCCCCCCCCCCCCCCCCCCCCCCCGGTACGTCGGCGTGCGGTGGCCGTGACGTGCTCCGAGCAGCCGCGCCTCTCCACTAAAGCCTCCTCCCTCCCCCTTCCTCCTCTCCCTCTTGTGTTGCCCCGCATCCAGGTTCATAAGGGGGGGTCTCCCCGCCCCCCTCCTCCCCCACCACTTCCGTCTCGGGGAGAGGAGCTCCCGAGCGGGGACGAGCAGGCGGCCGCGGGGGGACAATATGTCCGGCTCTCGGTGGGGCCCTTCGTCGAGGCTCCGATTTTTGTTGTTGTTGTTGCCAAATTCGGAAAAAGAAGGTCGCAATTCTGGCCCACCTGCCCGCCCGCCCGCCCGCCCGCTCCCCGTAACGGCCGTCTCCTGTTTGCTACCGACAATGTGGGACGAGGAGTGACAGGGCTGCGCCCAGAGCCGTCCCTAGGGTACACGGCGAATCGCGGCGACTGACCCGGGCCCCGTGCTTTGGGGGTCTTCGTTCCCCCCCTACCTTCCGCACTTCGATATCACGGTGTCAGATGTAATACTTCCGGTCAAGTTTGAAGGTGGAGAGGGTGGGGGCACATCCACCCCCCCCCACTTCCCCCCCTATGAACGGCACTGCCAGTGGCTGCTGTTGTGGTCCAGCTGACCTTTTCAGAAGTAGAAACGGAATCGTGTGTGCACTGTGCAAGATCCCCCCCCCCCCCCCGCCTCCCCCTCTACCCCACAAACCTCCTCGCCCCACCACCACAATCTGGCGGCGTTCTCTTTGGAAACCGTTTGCGAACAGTTCGGAAAGTTTTTATTACGCGGCCGGATTTTTGCGTTTAAATGTTTTGAACGTTTAAATTCGTTTGCAAGCAAGTACCGTTCTGCACTCTGGCGGAGACGATGGTGGCGGGCGGGGGGGGAGATGTTCAGGTCTCTTGCGGTTTTCCAGCAATAACTTGAGATGGTGACTTGGGTTTAAAAAAAAAATCGCAAGCACCCTAAAAGGTCAGAAACAAACGATTGATTTTGCCAGGGCTTACAACCCACCCGGTGAAAAATGTACTTCGGTTTGAAATTAATACGTTGCCATATTGTCCATTTGGAGTTGTTCTCTGCGTTAGCATCCGTGACTTGCGAATCTGATCGACCAACCTCTCTTTTTTTAGTTCCTTGATTTTTCATGGGGGGGCGGGGGTCTTTGTTTTGCCGCGAGTGAATTTCTCTCCTCCACACTCTTGCCCTTCAAGTAGTTTGTCAAGCCTCTCTTCACCCAAAGTTAATTCTTGTTTTTATATATATATCGTGAAACATTCTCCGTTGTCGTCGCTGAAGTTCTGCATTCTGTGAATATGAACTCTCGACTTGAGACTGCCTTTAGTAACGTCATATTAACCTCCGTTGTGCGCACGTTTACCCTTTTGTCCGGAGACTCAACCGTGCTCGGCGCTACGTTGCGTTGACGTTTTTTGAGAGTAGCGCGGCGCTCGCATGCTGTGCTCCCCCCCCCCCCCCCCCTCGCTACTTTGCCACGGAAGCAAACTGTGAAGCTAAAACCCGACCAGAATCAGAATATTTATTTAGACTGGAGAAATCCGATGAGCTGTGAAGCTCTTTTTCTTTTTACATGTCCAGTAGGGGTGGGTCGGAACGTTGCGACAGCAACATAATTCAAGAACACCATGGGAGTGCAAAGTATAGGAAAGGTGAGCAAATCACTTTGAAAAAAAAAATTAGTTGGCTCATGCATCCAACATTTTTTTATTACAGCAGCATGAATGAATAAAAGTCACGAAAGTGCAAGTTGTTTGGTTCTTTCGTTTGCGCTTTGGCTCCAAAATATTTTGGGCACCAAAATGTTTTGACGTCATCTGCGGCAGCCAATCGCAGTTGCCCGTTATCCGTTTGCGTCAGGACGGCTGATAACACGGAAATCTTCTGACCCCCCCCCTCCCCCAGCCCATTAAGACGACGGTTACAAGCTCCCAGAAATATTCCTGCTGCCTGGTTCATTGCAGACGGTCGTAAAAATAATCCCGTTGAGGTCCCGGGGATTTATGTCGTCGCGGGTAAATTCCCGGTGGCGTGGTCCGACGTGCCCCGTGAATTCACTCTTTGAGTGCGGGCTCACGGTGAGGACAGCCGCGGTCCAAAAGATAAATTTGTATCTTGTTAGGATCGGACCACTACCCATTCAGTACGGCCACCGGTGAAACTAGAAATGATCGGCAATCGTTAGCTGCGTAGGTTTTCGCGGTTGTGTTGTCATGGCTCTCTGCGACGCGATTTCGGGTGATGCTTCCAGGTGTCGTTTAGGGACGAGGCCCGACGTTTCGCTCCACGTGCTGCGAATTTTTTCGGTTCCTGGAGAAGCTCCCATGACGTGGAGCGCAAACACACGGCGGAATACCCGGAAAAGGCATCACGGAGCTGTACCTATTGTCGTCGGTGCGAGTCAGACCGAGTAATAGACAAACGCCGAATTGTTGGGGGGGTTTTTCGACCGTGTGTGTTACGAGTGCCCGTTCGGACAATGTGTTTTTAATCTCTTCCTTCGCGCAGAGAAGACAGAGAGAGCGAGCGAGCGAGTCTTAGCATTTCGTAAAAAATGCCCGGCTCGCTACATTCATCAACAGCCTGGCCTAGCCGTTCCTGTTAACGTATTTAATGTCGTCGTTACTCTTTTGTAATAACTCCACTGCTACTACTCGGCCAACTTGACCGTCAAACGCTGACGCGGCAAAATAGTAAATACCGTCTATTAGATAGACCGGGGCGACGAGGATGGGCGAGCGTGCGCAACAGCTCCGCGTTCCTTGAAGAAATCGCACGGAGAATAAAAAAAAAACGGAACGCCTGGCGCGTGTTTTGACTTCGCTTTTCGTCGCGCCGTCAGCCAGTGCGGCGACACGCCCCTCCCCCCCCCCTCCCCCCGGACGGCGCCCGTGAACATTTCGCGGCGGCGGAAACGAATCGCGCTTTGGCCCGACGGGCCTCGGGCCGTGGGGTTTGGGACGCATTCCGGGTGACCTCGGTGGCACGCGATTGCCGCCAACGCTGCCGCTGTTGACCCCAGGTCGGGGCCGCTAGCTTTCGACTTCCTTCTGGGCGGCGGCGACCGTTATCCCACCGACCCCCCCGGCGCTTGCGTCGCGCTCGGGCGGGAATGCTGGACACGTCGCTCGCCTGGCAATGGTTGGCTACGTACGGTGCGAAAGGAGTTCAGCGTATACGTACGTACGACGCTCCCGTCTGCCTCGCCGTTGCCTTTCGAAGCGCCCTCCGTCGTCGTGGCACTGCTTAGAATTAGCGGGGATCGTCGTCGTTTTGTTTTCCCGCATCTCCGATTAAGCACGGTTGGCTACGTACGGTAGCGAAAGAAGTTCAACATACGTACGTTTGTTTGTCTTTCCGTCGTATCGCGTATGACCACCCGCCCCCGGTGTTCACCTTCTGTCGGTGGACGCGGAGGCCCCCGTGACCCTGCGGGGTGAGAGCCCCGTGCACACAGGACGGATCGCCAATCCGCAGACTTCGACGCGGCGTCACCGTTTGCCGCTAGTTCCTCCCGTTGGGGTCCGCGCAGAGCGTGGATGCGGAGTGACCGCACCGTGACAAATCGCCGCAAGCATTGTGCCGGTCCGTGCGGGCAGTGGGGAAACCTCCCGACAGAGATGGGAAGTCTCTTAATTGCATGGAATTTAATTACAATTTGTAATTGCTATCAGAGAAATTGGCGATTTGTATCTATATATTGGTCATTAGTACCCATGTTACAATACCGCAGTACGGTGGTTTGAATGTGTTTAACCCATCTCTGCCCGTGACGACATGAGGCCTACTACTTTTGACACGGGCCCACGAACAATATCTATCCAGCACTGCAAGTGCAAGCATATTAGTCTCACCGGTCGGGTACTAGAGGGGAACGTTTTTGACCTGGCAACCAACAACATCGTTCCTAGTGTCAGTGCCACGCTCAATCACTTCACTCACTGCAAGTGCCTCTCGCAGTGACAGAAGTGGTCGAGCTGCGTGCGTGTGTGCGTTAGTATGTCTGTGATGTGTGTACGTTCGTATGTCTGTGTTGTGAGTTCGTATGTCTGTGTGCGTGTGTGCGTTAGTATGTCTGTGTGTTGTGAGTTCGTATGTCTGTGTGCGTTAGTATGTCTGTGTGTGTGTGTGTTTGTATGTCTATGTGTTGATGTGAGCGTTAGTATGTCTGTTGACGTGTGGTTGCCTGCGGCCATTTGGATCTGAGAGTGCGATCCGATGTGGCCCCCGGTAAGAATAAAAGGTTGTGCCCCCTCCCCACCCCCGATCCCACTCGCTCGTCTGAATGTCCGCTCCGTCCCTGCGTGCAATTCTCCCGCTGCACATTAGTTGCCACGCGTGTTTTCATTTTAATGTGTACATGTAAAAAAACACACACAAAAAACTTTGCCGGTAGTTGTTTTTTTAATGCACAATTTATTTTCCGTTTAACTTTTCTTTTAAAATATATATTATTATTTGTTTCTGGATTGGAGAATCGTGTTCGTTTTTTTTTTAGAAGCGGGGAACGTCAGCCACAGTTACCGCCACTTGGATGGATGGAACCCATTGAGAATCACAGCTCCCACGGGGCATGTTGGGACGTCGTCACGATCAGAGGCTAGGATGTCGTAGGCGTCAGGTAAGGTTTTAGAGGAAAACTTGCAACCAGGGCACGGGCGGGACACACGTACTCGTGTGACAGGCGGGTATCTCGAAGGCGTTCACGATCAATAATAGATTTCATCGACAATGCGCTACGATCCAGCGTCGTGTCCGACTGTGGGTTTAGCATCTTTGCTCACCGTCACCGACGCTATTTAGTAGTAACAAACAAACACGCAAAAAAAAACAAGCTATCGGCGGTTTTCTTATTTTCACGTTCGTCAGTTTTATTCGTTTAAAGTATATATTTTAAACTTAACGGCTTGCACAGTTAACGGGAGTTTTGTTGTCGTAGCGCTCGCAATCGCCACGCGGATGTGCAACCGACGCGGCCCTCTCGCGTGTCGGCGCGCGCGGTAACTTATTGTCACTTTGTCAGTGCAGGCACCTCGTTCGCTTCACCTCGCGGAGGGAGGGGGGTCTCGTTTGCGGAGCTGCGTTTTTGTTGTTGTTGAAAAGTCGCCTTATCGTGCGCGTAACGTTAGGCCCTGCTGACGACGATGTATGTTGCGACGACTTTCCCTCGAGCGCGCGAGGAGTTTCACCAAACTCCAGTCCTCCCGCTGACTCCCACCCGCCTGCTCTCCTTCGAACGGACAACGTTGGGGCCAACGTTGTTGGCACGCGGCTGCAACAATTGCACGAATGTTGGCCCAACAGTTCCACGTTTGCTGGGAACAAACTCTCCCCTGTTTACCAAACGCGCCTCCATTCAAATGGAAGCGCGGCTTTTCTGTAGGTGGTGCGTAGACGTGGAATCCCCCCGTGTCGCCTTCACAGGCTGTTGGGCCAAGCGCTGTTGGCGAGTAGCACCTATGAAGGCCTGCACGGCACACGGGGGGGGGGGGAGGGTGTGTCCAGCCCCCCCCCCCACAACGCACCAGATGCACATTTGAGGCCAATACGAACTAGCGGAAGGCCAGAACCTGTTCAAATTCGGCTCACCCGGGTCCACAGCGCAGTGCGCTAACCTGCTACACTACCGCTCCCCGGACAAGTTTTATGAAAATCAGCGTCATATCGGTCAAAAGACATTGGCAATGTTGCCAGTGGTGGGCTCTGATTGCGACATTAATTAGCATGCGGGTAATGTTCTAATTTGGAGACGTTGGACCCCCAACTGCAGTTTTGGAGAGAGAAACCCCCTCCCCCCCCGACTCTGCTCCGTAGTGTTTAGTACCTTTGCACACACACAGTACACACTTTTACACTGCACAGTCCCTGTGTGTGTGTGCGCTCGCACGCAAGCGGTAGTCCTGACTGTGATAGTCCCGTTTACGATGGACCATCGACCCCGCCGCTTGCGGTTCATCACGGATGGGGCGTCATCAAGGGCACAAGCGGTTTGCCTTGGGTGGATGGGGCGATTGGGCCGAGAGACGACAGGGCAGGAGTGGCTGGGTCGACTGGAGGGGCTGGGTGGATAGGACAGGAGGGGCTGGGTCGACAGTGATAGGAGGGACTGGGTGGACGGTGACAGGAGGGGCTGGGTGGATAGGAGGGGCTGGGTCGACAGTGATAGGAGGGGCTGGGTCGACAGGACGGGAGGGGCTGGGTCGACAGTTATAGGAGGGGCTGGGTCGACAGGAGGGGCTGGGTCGACAGGACGGGAGGGGCTGGGTCGACAGGAGGGGCTGGGTGGACAGGACAGGAGGGGCTGGGTCGACAAAAGGGGCTGAGTCGACAGGACAGGAGGGGCTGAGTGGCCAGAGAGGGGTTGATGGTGGATGGGTGGTGGGTGTGGGGGTTCTGTTTGTGATGCAGCTGCCACCCACCGCCAGGTAACCCCGCGCGTTACCTGTGGATCCCACGGCGGCCCACCCGCCCCATCCCTGGCCTGGCTGTCCCGCACGTGGCTCGCGTGTCAAACAGGCGCGTATAATAACAATGCTTGTTTTGTTATGGTTTTTGTTGTAACGCTGCTGTACATGAAATAAACACGTTTTGCATAAACAGTCACGCGTTGTTGTTGTCGTTGTTTGCACGTTTGGGGCTGCCGTGCTTTGCGATTGGTTGGTTAGCAGCACACCTGACTTGCAATCTGAATGTCGCCGGTTGGATTCGATTTCCTGACGCGGTAGTTGAAACAAGGGTGCAGGTTTCTGAATCACACCACCTCCACCCCGCCCCCGTCCGCCCAGCAGCACGGTACATCCATGGGGAGCACCAAGTCAGTCGAATTGGAACGTCGCGTTTGGTGGGGTTGAGTGTGGGTACCCTCGCCTCTTCCCGGAGGTCTCGGCAGCGTGGAAGAGTAGGCCAAAACCATCCGTCGAGAGCTCCCTCTCGTGGAGGCCTTGTTTTCCGTCAGCAGTGGCAGAGCTGCGCCTGTACCGGACGTTGGAATTGTAAGTTGCGATGTATATTCAACTTCTTTCACACCGTACGTAGCCAAACGTGCTAATGGGAGGTGAGGGGGAAGGACAACTAAACACAAAAAGCAGTTCGAAAGAAGCGAGTTTTCAATCTAGATGATGATTAATTAAAAGTGCAGCGGAGCTCCCAGTGGCTTTCTAATATCGGAAGGAAGAGCATTCCAGACGGCCGTGAGAATCGCGTCTGAAAGCACCGCGCGATGCGGCGACCACCGCCTTTGTTCGACGGTTAGCGGCCAAAAGCAATTGCTGCGAGGATGACCGGAGTCCGTGCCATGATGGTTTACGCTCCTCGACGAGATCAGCGAGGTATTGTGGTTCATTTGTGGCGAGCACTTTGTGTGTAATGAGGTGCGACCTTATCACGCGTGCTTTTGTGTAATAAACGCGTCATGGGCAGCAGAGGGCAGTGCAGAAAAAATGCACTGTTGAGGTGTACAGTACAACACTTCTACGATCCCGCCAGATATTTATTGCACTTGTTTTCATGTTACCAGGCAAGGCTCTGTAGATGTTTTTCAGACGCGACCTGCCCATCACAAATGACAGGTCAACGAAGTGGCTTATCGTGTGGTAATGTATAGCAGCCAAATGTTGATTGAAAAATGTGGAGGGGGGAAAAACCGGAGGAGCCGGAGAAAATCTCTGCTTCCCCCACCGACAATCAGCACTGACCAGGGTGCACTGTTATTGTACTTTGCTCTCAGGAACTGGTGATACAAATGCCATAAAATAGGCTGTAATTCTAGTCTAGGCCAATCAGTCTGAAGGACAATGCATGACATCGAAGCATATTTTTTCTCCATGTTTTGCCACAAGTGTAATGATGACTTTGGCGCACTTGTCTTGAGATGCTTTATTTTATTAAGGGGCCACGTGCTCACACTCGAACAGGCGGAGACCCCCACAGCAACAGCCCTGAGTCTCCCGCGCATCTCCCTTATATACGGTCCGAGGCCACGCCCCAATTCCCGAGCCTTCTCGCTGGTTCTAGACCACTCACTCTACCAGCAGATTCCACCGTTCTCTTTCGTCACCTGGCCACGCTCCTATTCTCCATCATTCCCGTAGCCACCAGTCCATTCGTACTGCAAGCTGACTCCCCTGTCATTACCTCCCGTGGCCACCAGTCCACTCACATTCACAGCTGACTCCCCTGTCATTACCTCCCGTGACTACTAGTCCATTCGCACTGCAGGCTGACTCCCCTGTCATTAACTCCCGCGGCCACCAGTCCATTCGCACTGCAGACTGGCTCCCCTGTTATTACCTCCCGTGGCCACTAGTCCATTCGCACTGCAGACTGACTCCCCTGTCATTACCTCCCGTGGCCACTAGTCCATTCGCACTGCAGGCTGACTCCCCTGTCATTACCTCCCGCGGCCACCAGTCCATTCGCATTGCAGACTGGCTCCCCTGTCATTACCTCCCGTGGCCACTGGTCCATTCGCACTGCAGGCTGACCGGAGGTTCACTCTACTATCATCACACAAGTATGCGTGGTGAATGCAGACTCGATGTCTTGTAACAGGTGTCTAGTTGGTGTTTGCACATCTTAATGCCGATATTTAAGTACGGTCAAATAACTCGCGCGACACCACATAGCACCAGGAGTCTGCACGCATTCAGCAAGGAGCCTCTACAATGTAACACGATTTATTTTACAGTGGACTTTAATTCTCGTCATGTTTATAAGAATACAGATTTAAACATTTCCATGCCCATTTTTACCGAAAACACCGTAGGGTTAGTGCGTCTTTTTTCACGTTTTGGCAAAATGTAACGTTTCAAAATGTTCTAAACATTATGTATTCACCGTCTATACAGGACACGTTTTAACGCGTTTGGTGAAAATAAGATGAAAACTGGTCGTGCCAATTCCAAAGGTTATATATATATATGTACAGTTAATGTTTTATTGAGCGTACATACCATACATAGCATCTCTTTAACATTTTAGTGGAATTTTTTAAAAATATGTTTGGGCTTATGTACACGAAAAACGACAGTGTTTTTCAATTAATTGGCCAAAATAATCCACTCAAATGTTATTTTCTAATATATGCCACTTTTTCAAAGATTCAACAGGTGATGTACCCGATTTCATGTTTTAGTGGAAAAATACAGGACAATAAAAATTATCTATTTTGGCCCAACAATTCAGGATAATAGAAGTTAGCGTGTCAATTGATTGCTTTTTTATCTTTATTTTTGGCAAAAATAAACTTGATTGTATTCTTCAATAAATGCCACATTTAGCAGGAATACATCCGTCGCATTAGACACTTCAATGGTGATGTAATCTGTCGCGCCAGCATTTAGAAACTCGGCACATCATATCTACGGGCACTGGAACGCTCTCCTGACGTCATCGTCAACATCATCGCCAACATATCGATGGTCCTAATTTTACCAAACCTGAATAATGAACCCACATTTACTCAACGGAGAAATGCGTGGCAGCCATCGCCTCCCCGGTGAAGCTCTCCTGGGCTAAAATATTAATTACAAAAATAACCATCATTGTCATCTCACTCACAACACCTGATCTCAAATCTCGCTCCACCACTCTCACATCACCCACTGTCGGATACGATGACACTCCGTCCAACGCTCTTCCTCTTGCGTACGGCCAAGTGAACAGGCGAGGCCTTTTGAATTTCTGCTGCTGCCTCCGATGAATTTCAGAAGGTGGCAGCCGTTCCCAGGGTGCGCCGCTTCTGCCGTCGCGTTACATTGTCCCAACGTCGCGAGCCATTCCACGGCAGCATCCGGGCGTGGCAGCCGAGCAGAGTAGGAGCAGTCCGCTTGCTCCACCAGAGAGCGTGCGTTGTATCGGCCAGGCGACGTCGGTGACACACGCCTGATTGCTTGGCAGCTCACCATGCTCGCTAATCAGTGGAGTCCTTGGGTCTTCTGGTTTAGGGTCAGGCTTTCCCGCGGTCTCAAGGCAGTGCAGGCATTGCAAGGGGCAGGCGAGAGCAAGTGCTTCCGTCTTTATCTTTCAAATGCCGTCCGCGTTGACGTGGCCGCCCGACACAATAAAAAGGACACAACGCAAAACCCTGGGCCCCGCTGGCTCCAACTAAAGTGAACCAAGCACTCGAATAAAGAAAAAACACTTCGCTTTTTAATTTATATAAACTCATTCTTAAAATACGCGGCGCATCTATGAAAACAGAATTCACACAGTCGCGGTTCGGCAAGTTACAGCGCACCATTGAAGCGCGTTTTGCATTTTCGCGACGCGCTCTGCATCGGTGGGTAGGAGAGCAAGAAAGCTTTGCTGCAAATGCGAGGCCGTCTGACCTCTTGACCTGAACTCTCAAGTTTCTGAATAAGGTGCAATGGAATAAATGCAGGCAGCTTCGACTAAGCATCGATGAGTTTGTCGTCTATCTTATGAGTCCCACGGTTCAACTCTTCCACACCACAGAGTTCCAGGTCCCAAGTCACAGCAAGAGGGTTTCCACTCATACTGGTTTTCTCTGGATTGTCGCTGGCCTGAGAAAATCTGTTGGGTGTCGTGGGAATTCTGTAAGTCTTCCCAGGACATTAAAAGGTTTTTTTTTGTCAGTTCAGAAATAAAACAACCACTCAAGAAGATGAATTCACGCGCAGTTCTCCCCCCCTCCAGTTTCGGTGAGATATTATTTGTCCCACGATATATCCCGGTTCTTTTGTACCTCAAGAGGTGGCAGCGGTGGACAGGACAGGAGGCACAAAGGACTCGTCAGATTGAGCCAAAGAGGAATTCTCTGTGAATGATTCCCATATCACAGTCTCTTCTCGCTGGGTGCCCAAATTAGTTTTTTTTCTTCCCCAAAAGTAAATATTGCATACTCATCGCCCCAGAAGCAATCATGCGGTGGTGGATCGACGACCAGCCATGTTCAATCCACTGGTGGATGAAGGCCTCCCAAAGGCGCCTCCACCTCTTACGATGCTGTTGCTGCGATATAATAATCCAGCGAGCACCTGCACACGGAACTCATTTCATTGCTCCATCTCCACGGTGGACGTGCTCTCTCGGATGTCTTACCTTCCTTGGCTGGAATGTCAACTGAATATATATTATATATGTTATATACACACACTGCAATTTGTATTTATAGCGTCCAACGCGTGCCCACTTACTCAAGACGCTGAGTAATTTCATATCGATCACCGCAGTGGCTGAAAGTACTCGACTGGAAATGCATTACAAGTTCACAAAATCCCACCCCATCATCCATCTGGCGCCAGACAAACTATTCTCCGGCACAGTAATGTGAAATTTCTGCCACTGGTGGCAGCGGTGCAGATAGGCGCTTCCCTATGCTCATGTTAGCAGAGGGTGACTTTTTGGAACTTTGAACTTGACCTTTGACTGACGAATGTTGAGATTTCTCCAGGTGCCACGAGAAGCCTGCTGTCGGGTGTGCAGGCGGTGCAACTCCACCAGGTTTCCAATTGACCAGAGGGGCCAAGGTGCCGGGGGGGGCAGGGGTGGTGGGAGGGGAGGCCTCATTTCATAATCCTCTGCACCAAGCCTCGCGCCAAACCACGCTATGCCACCGGGCGCCGCGCGAGTCTGGTTTGCGCGACGTTCGGTCGTGTGTGTCCGTGTCCTCGGCTCAGGATGGCAGGACTGTCCGTTGAGAACACACCCTGTACTTCTCTCTCTCTCTCTCTGTGTTTACGTCTTTCTCTCTCTCGCTGTACAAACATTCAAAAGTTCAGTTGCCTGCCGCCGTTCCACCTTCCGTCGCCTCACCTCGACGCTCGACTCCGCGATGGCAGCGGCTCCATTTACACATCCAGGGGAGAGGTGAAGGGCTCCACAGTGGAAGAGTAGAAGAGTTGGTGAGCAGAAGAGTGGAAGAGCTGTGATCATTGTCGTTATCGGAGCCTGGCGCATCTTAGCCGGGACGTAGCCGGCGCTGCTGGTGCTAGCACTTCCTGCTCCCCCCTCCCCCTCCCTCCCCCCGCTTGAGGACTCAGAGCTCGCTCTGCTTGACGGGCGGCTCGAGGCGCTTGGAGAGAACGTTGAGAATCTGCTCGAACTTGTCGTAGCGCTCCGACTGGGCCACCTCGGCGCCCTTGCTGCCCCACAGCAGCTTGAGCATGAACTCCGTGCGGAAGACGTCCAGGAGCCTCTCGTCCCGCACAGCGCCTGCCGGCAGGGAGGGAGGAGAAGAGAGGTGGGGAGGGTGGGGGGAGGGCGGCGGGAGGGGAGTCAGGGGGGGGGACAGGGAAAAACACGGAGAGGTCACGGTGATGAGATGTTAACTACCTCACCTGATAGACGGGAGGTCGTAGGTTCGATCCCAACCCTGACGCCTGTGTATTTGGAGTTTGTGGATTCTTATCCGGGTTCTCCGGTTTTTCCCTCCACATTTAGAATCGACATCACGAGTTTAGTGAATTCGGCTGCTATAAATGTCCACGCGATAAACAACTGCATTGGACTATCTTTGTGGCTAGGTCGCTGCTAAAATAGAGCTAAGTAGCTCAGTGGGCCTTACCTCGTAAAATAAAATAAAAATTCTTTAGTTGCGTTTGTAACTGGCGATTTATTATGGGCCCCGTCATAGGAACGTGGAATGTCCACCACTGGCTCTGCAGGGTTGCAGGGAGCAGACAAGCACCGGATGCCTCATTGCTCTCATTCGAGCAGCGATTCTCCTCCTCCGTGAATAATTTGCCATCGGAGCGATTCGTAAATTGAGTGCTCGTAATGTACTCATCCGAGTCGTACGAGCAACCTCCGATTAGCACGGTTGGCTACGTACGGTGTGAAAAGAAATTCAACACGCAACGCACAACCACGAGTAATCGGCAATCGGTAACACCGACGGCTACTTTGGCCACGCGCGTGCCGTGGCGTGCGCCACCACCTGCGAGCTTGGCAGTCGGCGTTGGTGCTGTAGATGCGCGCGTTGGCCGCGACGGAGCGCCCGTTCTCCAGGTGGCGCAGCACGGCCTCCAGGCCGTGGTCGGGGCCCTCCCAGGGCTCCGGGGGGCCGTCGAGCGCGAGGCCCCCGCACGGCTTCTCCAGCAGCTGCAGCAGCGGCACGATGTGCGGGATCGTCGTGTTGGACAGCGGGAGGCCCTCTGCGTCCGGAGAGGGGACAGGGAATGTCAAACAAATAAGTAAATGCCACCGGTCGATTTTAAACAAAAAATGTAGTGGAATGTTTATTTTAGAAGGTAAGGTCCACAAAAACTACGTAGCTCTTTTTCAGAAGCAACCTGGCGGCCACAAATGATAGCTCAACGAAGTGGCTTATCATCATGTGCAAATTTCTAAACGCGTGATGTTGATTCCAAATGTGGAGGAAAAAAACCGGAGAGAGATCCGCACGACCTACGGGTAGAGAGAACCACGCAAACTCTAATAGACAGCAGGCGTCAGGGTCGGGATCGACCTCCTACATACCAAGCTGAGGTAGTTACCATCTCGGCACAGTGGTATCTCTTCAGCTCCAACGAGCTGACCGACTGGTCAGCGTGTGCGAGTCACTCGACCCGACTGGAGATCAGCAGCTCCACCGGACCGGATGCTGACCTCTGGATGACGACCCCCCCACTCCCGTGACCCTCCTCTGCCCTGGAGCCTGACCTTTGCCCTCGTTGAGCGACTTGAGGAAGGGCTTGAGCTTCTTCTCGTAGGCGATGGCGCTCTCCGTGTGCTGCTGGCGCAGGGCGGCCCACGTCTGCTCCAGCCGCGTCACCTGCGTGCCCACGGCAAAGGTCAAGGTCACGAGGTCGTCGAGCCAAGGGCCACGCCATCGATGCCACCGCACGTAGGCGAACGGTGATGCCGTTCGCCTACTTTCTGATGCAGAACGTCGCAGCGGTTGGGAAGAAGGGTGGGGGGAAGGAGGGAGGGGGGAGAAGGAGGTTGGGGGGGAAGGAGGGAGTGGAGGAGGGATGGAGGGAGGGAGCGAAGGTGGAGGGGGAGGGGTGGGGAGGAGGGGGAAGGAGGGAGGGGGGGAAGGAGGGAGGGGGGCAGGGAGGGAGGGAGGGAGGGAGGGGGGAAGGAGGGAGCGGGGCAGGGAGGGAGGGAGGGGGGAAGGAGGGAGGGGGTGATGGAGGGAGGGGGGCAGGGAGGGAGGGAGGGGGGGAAGGAGGGAGCGGGGCAGGGAGGGAGGGAGGGGGGGGGAAGGAGGGAGGGGGTGATGGAGGGAGGGGAGCAGGGAGGGAGGGAGTGGGGGAGGGATGGAGGGAGGGGGCCACACCTGCGGGAGGTCGAGGGCCCTCATCACGGCGGCGAAGCCGAACAGGTTCCCGAACGAGGAGCGCAGCTCCACCGCCAGCTGCACGGTCTTGTGCAGCAGCGCGGCGCGGTCGCGCAAGTTCCCCGTGCAGCCCAGCACGTCCACCGCGATGCCGATCGCCAGCGTGTGGAACCTAGAGGGGCGGGGGGGGCGGTGCGAGGTCGGGGTCAAAGGTCAGCACGACGCCGATGGCCGGCACGAGGGGGCAGCGTGCGTGTGGGTGTGCGCGAGGACTTCTCGCCGCGCGCTATGAATCCGCCAACCCCCGAGTCCAATTCCCGCTCACGGTCAACGGTGGCGATTATTTGAACCGATCCCGGACCCCTCCCCCTAGGTCGACTCAGCCTTAAGTGAATACCTGGTGCGGCATGTCCTTCCCCGCACCCCGATTAGCGCGGTTGGCTACGTACGGCGTGAAACAAGTTCAACATCAAAACGAAACATCAGCCCCGGGGAGACAAAGGCGGCCGGGCGCGGTGCTGCGTGACGCAGCGCCTCCTCGTGCGCCGTCCGTCACGGGCGCTCGCTCGACGCCGCTTTCCCCGAGGGTCCGTCCGAGGCTGCGCCGTCCGAGCGCGCGCTCACCGCTCCATGAGGTCCAGGCGGAGCTGGTGTCCGTGCGGCAGCGTGAGCAGCTCCAGGCCGGAGGAGACCCCCATCCTCCGGCGCCGCTCCTCCGTCACCCCGACGACGCGCGCCACCTGCGGAACAGACGGCGCCAGGTCAAGCGGAGGGCTCCCGCTGGCGCCAGCCGGCTCGCCGCTGCACTGACGAGTGCAGTATGTGTAACCTACTTGATGTGCTGCCTCCCATGAGGAGGAGGTACAGACAACACAGACGGAAGAGACGACACATGGACGATACAAAACAACACAAACGAGACGGACAAGACGCAAACGAGACAGACGGTCGACCCAAGTCGGACGACACAAAAGAGGCAGACTGTGGCGCCCCAAGCCTCGCTCTGGCCATGGCTCACGGCCAGAACGACGACCCCCCCCCGCGCCACCCCCCCGGCCCCCCCGCACCCCCCCCCCCCCCCCCCGCACCTGGCAGTCGATGGCCGTGATGTGGCCGGCGATGGTGCGTGCGTCGTGCCCGCCGAAGGTCTCCTTGACGAGGCGCAGCACGGCCGTGTCCAGGGGCTTGTTGTCGGCCGGGAGCAGCGGCGAGCGGAACGCCCCCGGCTGGAACGCCGACTCCGTCTCCACCTCCGGCACGAACAGCTCCTCGTCCGCCTCTGTAGCGGGGGGCGGTGAGCGACACGGGTGGTGAGTGAGGGTGGTGAGATGGGCGGTGAGTGAGGGTGGTGAGACGGGTGGTGAGTGAGGGTGGTGAGATGGGCGGTGAGGGAGGGTGGTGAGATGGGTGGTGAGTGAGGGTGGTGAGACGGGTGGTGAGTGACATGGACGGTGATTGAGATGGATGGTGGATGGGCAGTGGCAACGACAGACAAAGATACAAACAGACGGGCGGCTGGATGAAAGGACAGCAGATGGATGATCGTGGTGACCAAAGTGGTGATGGGACAATCATGGCAATGATGGGTGGGCAACAATGATGCCAATGTTGCTGCTGATGTTTGGTGACAATGCTGATGAAGATAATTGATAATTTGTGATGATGATAATTGGTGATGATGACAAAGCTGCTGATGATGATAACGAAGACGGCGATGACGACGGCACGCAACTCTTTCCGTCGGCCAGCCGCGTGACCCTGGCGTTGGTCCGCTCGCCCTCCAGGACGGAGAAGTTGGTCTCGGAGCGGCGTGCCGCCTCCCTCGCGGCCGCCACCTCCTCGGCCACGAGCCGCTCCACGTGGCCCCTCTTCCTGGAGGCCGGAGTTCCCGCCCCCGGCAGGGGGATCTCGACGACAGACAATCGCAAAACAGGGCCCGCCGCAAAATCAAAACGGCGAAAGAAAATTCATCCACGCGATGCACCGCTGTGATGGCGATGACGACGACGACGATTGACGGTGCTCGTGACGAGTGGGGGGGGGGGGGGAGTTCATCTGAATCAGCTGTTGTTTTTCTCACAATTATTTTTCCCCAAATGTCACCCAGATCACCCAGAAAGCACTCAAAACTCATTTTGAGCTCAGAAGCTAAGTAGGCGTTGAGAGCCCGGACGGCGCGTGGATGGGCCATCGCCACGCACGGCACGGGTGTTACAGGCTGCTCGATGTGACGGGCAGCAAATTCAACTATTGTACTACACTTCTATGCTGACACATACACGCTGCCCGCATTCATCAAATTCGCACTGACCAACCCCCCTCCCCACGTCCATGATCTGCATGTGGTACGGAGGCCCTGACAAAGGTGAGTGTGCATCGTTACGTGTGGATTGGGCTTGCGGAAAAGGTGCGGCCCTGCAATGTCTTGCTGACGCCACTGCTCCCTCTGGAGGGTAACGGGATGACAGCGTCAGACAGGGCGATTGTGACCGTAATTACGGTGCACCGGTGCGCGAGTGATCCGCAGTGCGGCCGCGACGCCCTCGCCCTGCAGGCGACAATGAGAACGAGCTGTTCGCCGTTTCTCACAGGGCCGCCCCTTACGCTGCAGCGTCTACGATAGCTTCACATCGCATCTCAGACACATTTTAAAGGGGTGCGGGGCGATGATTGGCGCCGCGTGGAACACCGATTGAGTAAATTGCCGTGCAACTTTCGAACTTGGCAAAAATTGGACGCGCGCGATGGCCAACGGCGTCACGGGATCTTTGACGTCGACCCCGAGTGTTAACCAGGGCGGCCCGCCGCAATCAAACCATGAACCTCCGCGACGAGCGCGCCACCGTCCCGGGCCGCCAGCGTGCGGCCACGGTCACGGCGCAAACCCGGCCGCAGTGTGGACGGGCGGGCGGGCCGCTCTCACCGGCCGCAGCTCGCAGTAGTGGCCTCCCGTGGCCTCGAGGTCTGCGCCGATGATGACGGACGGCGCGCGGCACGGCTTGGGCGGGGGCTTGCCGTTGAGCTGCCCGTCGGAGCCCCGAAGGCCGCTCCTGGCGCCGGCGGCGGCGGCCGAGAAGGAGGAGCAGGAGGAGGAGGACGCCGGCGGGGCTCCGTCGAAGGCGGACGCGAGGGCCGCGCCGTCGGGCCCGACGCGCCGCTGGAACGTGGGGCTCAGCACGGGCTCGCTGTCCGTGCGGAACAGCGGGGAGAGCAGCGCCGGGGTTTTGTCGGAGCCGGCGCCGCCTGCCGCGCGGCCGCGCTGACCTGCGTGGCCGGGAGTTGGAGAAAGAGGGAGAGAGAAAAAAATCTCGGTCTTGATCTAGCCGGCGGTGACGGTGACTCGGTACGAGAGCAAGCGGAAGATCGGGCAGGTCCTGGTCTGTCCGTGGACTTCATTCGGTTGTTCTCTCGCGCAGTCAATGCTTCGTGATTGTTTGGCGGGGAGGGGTGCACCGGTTAAACATCGCGCTCCGTCGTTTCGACGGCCCGTGCCAGCAGATGGAATCGAACCGGCGACCTCCGGGGGTTGCACGTCCGGTGTGGGGGGTGTGGGGGGGGGTTGAGGGTACACGCACCCAGCGGCAGGTGGCTCTCGGACTGGTGCGTGTGCAGGTGACGGTGCTTCTCCTGCAGGTGGTCGAGGTTGGTCGGGTGGCTGCCGCTCTTCTCCTTCGCCCTGCGGTGAACGACAACGGCGAAGATGATGGGAGTGATGGTCAGAGGAGATTGACGGGAAGGGGAGCGGTGGGCAATAGTGTTGGGGGGTTAGCCCCTGTCCTGGTTTCCCCAGGGATCGTCGTATTATTGAGGAGGTAGCTGCAGCAGCTGTCCTGGGGTAACAGTTGAGTACCAAAAAATAATAAACCCCTCACGACGATGCGTTTCTACGTAGTTCTCCGCTGGTATGTCTCATGACATAACGCCCGCAGCACATCATCACCACCATCATCGTCAATCACTCAATCGCGATCAACGCACTGCTGGACGAAGGCATTCGTACACCGCTGCCACCAAACGATGTTCAACATAATTATAAAAACAACAGAAACCCCCAAATGAAAGCACAGATACCCTGCTGGCGGCCATCACTTGGTGGGGCAGCAAGCCCAATCCCCTCGCTCCTCTAAATCCAGGAGCACAGCGGAGTCTCTGTACCGCTACTGATATAAGCAAAGACATTCAAACAAACGGGAACGTGTCGGGCACCTGACGAGGCTGGCGGACGATCCGTCCTGCCCGGCTGCATCCCCCATGTTGAGGCTCAGCCGCTTGGCGAGGGGGTGCTGAGCGTGACCCCCCTGGGGGGCGGGGGAGCTCCCCAACGCGCGACCCCGCGCGGCCCCCTCCCCCGCCCCCCCGCCACCGCCGTAGCGCGCCTCCAGGTAGCGCAGCGGCACGGTGCGGTTGACGGGCCGCGCCACGACGGCGCCGGTCTGCGCCGAGATGGGCCGCCGGTTGCCCACGTGGAAGCGCACGAGCGCGGGGACGCTGTCGAAGCACTCCTGCTCGAAGCGGTACTGCACGCGGCTCCGGCCCGTCACCAGCGGGGAGGCTGCGGGAGGGAGGGCGGGGAGGGCGGGTGGGTGGGATAGAGAGTGAGTGTTGTGGGAGCACTGTGGAACGGGGTGAGAGTGTGGGGGGGCGGTGGTGTAGTGGTTAGCGCTACGAGTTCGATTCCCACTCAAGGCCACCGACGCCAAGGATGGTTATCTTAACCGGTCGTAGCCCCCCCCCGCCCCTGTTTGCCGTTCCGGCCTTCATCGGTGCTGCTACTCACAAGCAGCACTTGCCCCAACAGTTTTTCAAGGCTATACGGGGGATCTTTGTCTTTGTGGGAGGGTGGATGGGGGTGTGAATGTTGACTGGGCGGTGGTAGAAGGTTGCCCAGTGGGGAGAACAGGTGGTGCGTCGGCCTATTAAAGCTGTTGTCAACCCATGGCACCTCCTGTCAGCAAGAGCCTTCCACACTTCACGTGGCTTCAAAGTGCGTGTGGTTAGCAGCCTGTGCGTGTGTGTGTGTCTGTCTGTGTGCGTGGGGGGAGGGGTAGTGTAGCGATTAGCGCGCTGCGCTACGAACCCGGCGACCCGAGTTCAATTCCCGCTCACGGCCAACACCCGTGACGAGTATCTGAACCGCTCCTGGGCCTCCGCTATGTCGACTCAGCCTCAAATGAGTACCTGGAGCGGTGTATAAACATCGTCACTGGGGAGACAAAGGCGGCCGGGCGTGGTGCTGGCCACTCGTCCCCCCCCTCGTGCGCCGTGCGGGGGCCTTCACCGGTGGCTCACCCACTGCACTTGCCCCAATAGCCGCTCAAGGCTTTGCGGGGGATCTTTGCCTTTGCAGGTTGACTCCTCCTCACCTCTCGATGTGGAGATGGGGGCCACGCTGGCCAGGAGCTCGCGGTGGATCTTGAAGTGGAGGGGGGCGCCCCCCCAGCGGCACGTGAGCACGAAGTTCCCTGGGCTCGACACCGAGTCGCGGATGAGGAAGTCTCCGTCGTTCCCCATCGCTCGCTCGGCCACCTGCGACCACGGCGAGCGACGCAGCCAGTCACGTGACCGCACAACCACAGCAAGCGACAAAGATCCCCCAGTGTCGCCTTAACAGACTGCTGGGGACAAGTGCTGTTAGCGAGTAGCACATACGAAGGCCGGCACGGCCACACGATGGGGTGGGTGGTCAGCAACGCGCTCAGGTCTCCACAGCAGCCAAATTTGTTCAAATTCGCAATAAAACGTTCAATGTTTGAAGAGCCGCCACGCGTGGTAATGCGAGACGGTGGCGGTGGTCCTTGAAGAACGACGTCGTCACAGAGCGGTCCTCAAAGAGCTGCAGGTTGCCGGCCCCCGTGCTCTCGGGCTTGGTCTCAAACAGGGGGTCGACAGCACGGACGGCTGGAGGAAGGCGGCGGTGGCGGCCGGGTGGGGGGGGGGGGCGTCACCTCGCGCGGCAAGCAGCCGTGGTACCACGCGTGGCTGCGGATGTCATCGCTGCCCAGCTTCAGCTCCTCCTCCAGCTCCTTGCGCAGCTTCTCGGAGCTTCCCTCCATCAGGCAGCGCTCCTTGGTGGTGAACTGCGGCGCAAGGAAAAAGGAAGACGAATTTGTATTTCCGGCACAACCGCATCCGGTACACTCCCCAGCCACCTCTCGCCGTGGCTACCGTTCGTCTTCGTGCCACCGCACCGCCGCTGCTCTGTGCCAGCGACCGGTGAGAAATGAACCCTCCGTTGTGGAGTGTAGGATGATGTACTGCAGAGATGAGTCCATTGCAGAGAGAGACACTTGAACACGAGGTGTAGAGAACACACACACACACGGACGCAGGCTAACGATACTAGACTGTTGAGAAAAAGAGAGTGTGACCTTGTGCAGGACGTGACCTTTTATGAGGTCGCACTCACTACGCACAGAGTAATTGCCGCAAAAAAACCCACAACACCTCGCAAATCTCGTCAAGGAGCCTAAACCATCGCGCCATCCTCGCGGTACCAGCGGCTTCTGGCGGTCACCGCATCGCACGCCTTCATCAGATTGCACTTCTGTGGCCGTCTGGAACGCTCTTCCTTCCGGTATTAGGAAACCACTGGAGCTGTGCACATTGAAATCATCATCCAGATTAAAAACTCATTCCTCGAGAACTGCTTTTTGTGTTTAGTTTGTTGTCCTTACCCCATACCTCCGATTAGTGCGGTTGCCTACGTACGGTGCGAAAGGAGTTTAACGTACGCACATACATACGTCACGACGAGAGGGGAAGATGGTTGATAGTCAAGGGTTGTAACGGAGTGGCAGGGAAGGAATAGAATGCATCCGAGAGAGGACGTCCACGGGGGCGAAGAGATGGAGCGATGGGATCGGTTCGTATTTCGGCGCTAGGTCGACTATTGCGTAAGAAGCGGCGGCGGCGGCTTCGGGAGGCTTCCATCCAGCAGCGGATTGACCACGGTCGACGACGACGACAACCGACCCATGAAACGCGAGAGATGCAGATCGTATGAGAAGCAAACGCGTGACCTCGGGGAGCCCCGGAGTTGGATCCGACACCGATCCTGTCGGCGAGACTCCTCGAAGCTTCGCCACGTGGCTTCGTCAAGCCACGACGAAGCCACGTGACGAAGCCACGTGACGACGCCACCACGAGCCCAGCAAACCGACACGGGGGAGCCTCGGGGGGGCGGGCGAGGGGAGCGGCGGTCAGTGACCAGTCGCATGACAAACGTGGGGGCAGGCGGTGGGTTGCCTTGACCTCTACCCCCTTACCCTCCCTGGTGGCCAAAGCTACGCGTTGGGGCTTCCTTGACGACCACCATGAGATTTGTCTCCAACAACAGTGTCAAAGAAGAACAACAACAACGCGTAGCACCCGCTACAGGGATAAATGTTCGAGACCGTGAGCGTGACGCTGATGATGTGATTAGGCAAGGGGAGCCACGATATGTAACAGCCCCGAGACAAATGAAACATTGGGGCCCCACCTGACCGATTGAAGTCAAACAACCCCCCGTGACAGATCCCATAAGGTGTCTATAGACACCCTATGGCGTGACTGCACGGTGAGCACACAGTTTGGGTCGCATGGCCACAGTCGCACGCCTCTGGCTTGTCTTTAATTTGTCTCTATGGGTCTCTATGTTTCTCTATGGGTCTATGAATCTATATGGGTCTCTATGTATCTCTATGGGTCTCTATGTATCTCTATGCTTCCCTATGTATCTATAAGGATCGCTATGTATCTCTATGGGTCTATGAATCTATATGGGTCTCTATTAATCTATATGGGTCTCTATGTATCTCTATGGGTCTCTATGTATCTCTATGGGTCTCTATGAATCTATTTGTAACACAAACTGCAGTATCGGCCTGCTGTTGACAATGCTCCAATGTGATTCATAGTTAGACCTGTGTCTTCCGTGGAGGAGGAGGAGCAGTGTCAGAGCACGGAGGAGGTGTGCGATGACGATGTTTGTGTCTCGGACGAGGTGTTTATTGGCGCACGCGATCACCCGGCGGTTCTCACGCGTGCTGGACGAGCTTCATTTATTTTATTTGCAAATCTCCGGGAAAGAGCAAAAAAAAAACAACTCCGTGTGTTTACAGAGCTCGGCACCGGCTCGGCTAATGGTGGAACTCGGCATTTGACATCACCAAAGGGGACCCCCCCCCCCGTCCCCTAAGTCTGGCTCTCGTCCATAAACACGGAATTTTATTTTAGATCACTCAGTCACGGGATTCTATTTCACGAGGGTCATGCCACGTTGCCTTTTCATTGAAAGATGTTTTCAGCCAATTATTGATGAGCGTTCTATTATTATTACTATACCACGTGGGAGGAAATTTGGAACACCCGGAGAAAACCCCGCGGCTTGCGCGAGGAGACAACGCTCTATCCCCGCACCTCCGATTACCACGGTTGGCTACGTATGGTGCGAAAAAAGTTCAACTTACATATCACACATCCCGTACAGAGGGAACACAGCCAGGCCACGTCCTAGTGCCCCCCCCCCCTTGTTGAATCTATTTTAAACCTCAGCCAGTGGTGGAAATTCCACATTACCATTGCCGAGAGCTGCAGATCCAAAGGATAACCACCGTGGACTTCCCAATAAGGTGGATACTCTACTTGTTTAAATAAGCTCAAAAACATTCGTCTATGACACTCGCCTAAGATGAAAATAATTATTATAATAAATACATACAAATACTAGGAGCGACGTGTCAAGCAATGGCCCCGTTTCTTAATCTCTCTGAAGAAGAGTCATTGCCCGAAACGTCGCCTATTAAACGCACATTCGATCATGGCGTGTCCTCGATGGAACGTGGATGGATATTCCGTACCCCACGTGTAAGGAGGGTGGGGTTGGGGGGGAAGCCATGCCCCCCCCCCCCCACCTTTTCTCTAAACACTGAACAACAACAATAGAATTCATACCCGGCGAGAAATGGAATCCCAAATGCGCGCGTGCGTCCTTGGGATTCCTGCCGGCCATTAAAATTGATTTGGCGACATCATCTCGGTAATAGCCTGGCGGTGGTGGCGGTGGTGGTGGTTTGCGGTAGTGATGGTTACGGTGGTTGTGTTGGTGGTTGCATCGTGGTGGTTGCGGCGGTGGTGGTAGTTGTGTTGGTGGTGGTTGCAGTAGTGGTGGTTTTGTTGGTGGTGGTGGTGGTGTTGGTTGCAGTAGTGGTGGTGGTGTTTGTGTTAGTGGCGGTGGTTGCAGAAGTGGTGGTTGCGGTGGTGGTTGTGTTGTTGGTGGTGATTGCAGTAGTAGTGGGGAGCGGTAGTGTAGCGGTTAGCGCGCTGCGCTACGAACCTAGCGACCCGGGTTCGATTCCCGCTCACAGCCAACATCAGTGACGATTATCTGAACCGGCCCTGGGCCTCCCAGAGGTCGACTCAGCCTCAAATGCGTACCTGGTGCGATGTATAAACATCGCCACTGGGGAGACAAAGGCCGGGCGTGGTGTTGGCCACCCACCCCCTCGTGTGCCGTGCCGGCCTTTATAGGTGCTCGCTAACGCATCTCACAAATAAAAATGCAACGTATCAGCAATATGACTCTGCTCGGTCACGAACGCGTTAAATACTCGGATCCGTTACGGAGCGGGAGCGGCGGTGGCGATGGGGACCGCCGGCGCCTTAGAGTGGGGGGCACCCCCCGCCCCCCGCCCCCCACCCTCGCCACCCCCACAGTATTTCTCCTAACGCCGTCGCCGTCTTTATGGATCCGCCGATCATCGCAGACGGCGTCGCGGGGTGGGGTGAGGCGCCAGTCCCATCCTGCGAGACGTGTGAGTGTGTGTACACGTGAGTGTGAGTGTGTGTACACGTGAGTGTGTGTGCACGTGAGTGTGTGTACACGTGAGTGTGTGTACACGTGAGTGTGTGTACACGTACGAAACCTGGACCCCTCTCTAAATGGAATATCTCTGCCAGTTTGAAACATTCAGGCTGGCCTGCCTACGATGTGTGAGGAGCTCACAGATAATTAATTATTGAAAGATCTGGACACATTCCCATCGGTGAGCTCCTCCGGCAGGCGATGCTACGTTGGCCGGGTCACGTAGCCCGCATGGCCAGCCATCACATGCCCAATCCGTTTATGTTTGGCCGGATAGAGGGGGCTAAACGGGCGCGGCACGGGCTAGAGAAGATCAACCTCTATGGAGGAGGCACGTGAAGGACGCTGCTTCTGGGCCGTTAGAGACAGTCGCCCTCCAGCAACAGTGGAGGGCAGAGGAGCGACGCTCACAACAACGAGCGGAGCACCGGGTGGATACAATTCAGCAAATTGGCGCAGTGGGGAGGGGTGATCTTAGCCCATGTGTTATTAAAATAAAATGCATTTTAAAATAACACACTGCATTACACTTAGGAATTTAAAAAATGTGTCTACTTTAACATTTTAATTTCCCCTGTAAATTATGAATTCGGAACGTGGGCCAGAGAAATGTCTATTCAATTTACAAGCCATGTCCAGCAACGATGGAGGGAAGGAGAAAATAACAAATACAAGCACAGATAAATATTTATATACATAAATATTTATATACATTGAAATTCAGAGCTCGGCTCAGAGTGGTTTACGCTTATCGAATGTTGCCACAGGCTCTTTCATTTTAGACTTGCCAGCTGTGCCTGAAACCTGAAGTCGAACTCGGGATTTTTTTTGGTGCTATGACCTCTGAACTTTACCCAGTATGGTCAAACAATCCATACGACCATGGGGAGGCCTTGATCCAGCAGTGGGTTGACATAGGGCCCACTAATGATTGACATTATATATGTTACATCCAATTGATTTCACAATACACCCTGCCGCGCCACGCTAGAGAGACACTTACAGCCACTACGATCGCAAAAAAAATATCGAATGGAATTCTGAACGCAATCACGCAAAATCAAAATCGCAACATCAAATCATCAAATCCGGTCAATCTTTCACCGGCCTGGAATCGAACCCTTCCACGTGCCGCCCGGCGGCAAGGCGGCGAGCGTGGACGGCGCTGGTTGCCTGTTGGTCCGCGTGGCTAACGCAGCGGTCATCACTTTTGTCGTAATCACCCTGACGGGAGTAGGGCACGGGGGGGAGGGGGGACAGGCGAAGACGCCCCCCTCTCGAAATTCCGCACGCACGCCTCATTACTCCGCCGTCCACATCACAGAGAGCTTGCCCCGAGCACAGACAGATGCCGATTTTAGCGATGTTAATGGAGGTGGGTGGGGTGGGGGGGGAGTTGTGAGGGGGCAGGGCAGGGCAGAGGGGTGGGCGTGGAACGGAAGAGGCGAAGGAGGATGGATGAGCCGGCTGAGGCTCGACGCAATCTGTGCAGGCGTTGCTGCCACGGGGGTCCCGGCTGGGGTTAGAGTCCGGCTCAGGGCGAGGGCGTTCATTGATTGGCGGTGCTGGCGGTGGAATGTCTGGCCCGAGTCTCGGGGTGCGTTTTGAAAAAGAGCCCAGCTACGTTCGGCCCCAAAAAAATGCTCCTGCTGCTACTGATGCTGATGGTGTCGTGCTTATTGCTGATGATGATTAATAACGAGTTTCCTGCTGATGCTGACAACGATGATGATGATGAAGATGACAATGACATCATTCATGATGACGACGATGATGATGAAGATGACAATGACATCATTCATGATGACGACGACGATGATAATGCCCGTCCATGAATAAGCACAACCATAATATATAGCGGCCGTACATTTGGGTATTTGCGACGTTCGTGGGGCACGGGGCGAGCACGAAGGAAGGCGCTGCTGTGATTCACAGATTGGACGGGAGGAAGCGATGCTGCTGCTGCTGCTTCTCTGTGTTATACCAGTCGAGTAATTTGCGGCGTCATAAAATTAAAAGGGAAGGATGTTGGACTGTGACGTCGGCACACGCTGCTGGCTCGCTCGTCTCGAACGACGCCGAGTCGGTATATTCTTAAATACACGCCGCAGTATTAACTCGGGCGGCCTGCCCGATCCCGAACACTAAACCGCGAACCTCTGCATCAACGCTGGCCCGCGTCACCGCCCGTTGCGCGGTAAGGAAACGGACGGAGCCACCACCGCTGCATTCGCATAAACAATTACACCAAGGCATGGACCACCTCCCCCACCCCCAAATTAATTGCTCCTCCATCTCCCCCCTCTCTCTCTCCACTCTTCCCCGCTGCCTCAACCACTGTTCTCTCTCTCACCCCCTCTCTCTCTTTCTATCCAAGCTCTCATGATTCACTGCTGCCCCTGGCCATGCTACGCGATGTGCACCCGGGGCTCCGATAAGCGCAATCAGCTAATGCCATCTGCATGCGTCGCGTCGGGTTAATGGGCCCGTATCGATCGCTTGTGCAGGAATTCCAGAATCTGGGATTAGAAGAGGCGTCACCCGGGTGTTGTGTGCGCGCGTGTGTGTGAGGGGAGCGGTGGCGCAGCGGTTAGCGCGCGGTGCTACGAATCCGGCTACCCGAGTTCGATTCCCGCTCACGGCCAACACCAGCGACGGTTATATGAACCTGTCCGGAGTCTCCCCTAGGTCGACTCAGCCTCAAATGAGCAACTGGTGTGGTGTTGGCCAGCCACCCCCTCGTGTGCCGTACCGGCTTTCATCGGGTTCGCTAGCAGCACTTGCCCCAGCAGCCTGTTAACGGCTACACGGAGAACCTTTGTCTTTGTGCGTGCGGTGCGTGTGCCTGCGGACGCCTCTCCTCCGAGCGATTCGGCCGCGGTGCCCGAACGAACAAACGAATGAACGAGGGAGACGACACGGACGCAAGTAACGTAGAGGGGAAGAGGACGCGCACGCGCACAGCCGCACCTCGTCACATCCGCTGCAGGAAGGTGGCCTCCTCACGCCGCGAGGGCTCGCGGGTTCGGGTTGTTTTCACCATACTTCACCCCCGCGTCGCTCAGCCACGCAGCTGCCTGGGCCAACCTGGCGTGCGGAGCCACGCATGGCCCAGGTTCGATCCTGATTAGCCCAGGTTCGAACCTGCTTAGCCCAGGTTCGAGCCTGCTTAGTCCAAGTTCGAGCCTGCTTAGCCCAGGTTCGAGCCTGCTTAGCCCAGGTTCGAACCTGCTTAGCCTCCGAGATGTAACGAGCCTCGTCGAACTCGGGCTGATTCAGCCAAACTGATGGCTTCTAAGTGACACGGCCTTAGCGGCGGCCGCTTGTTGCTGCAGAGGCTCACGGGTTGGAACCCAGCAGGCCGCCCCGGTTAATACTGCGGCCGGCGTATCCGCAATAAAATACTTGGCGCCTTCACGGTTGGACGTTGAAGAGCCCCTTTTTGAGTCGCCTATCGCGGCGTGCAGCCCGCTTCGGCGAGACGCCGTGGCGCGAAAGGAGCTGTGTCAAAACAAATAATAACAATGGATGTTGTTGTGTATGCGTGCCCGGCTTCGCTGGCAGTGACGCACTTGTGCGGAAGCGGCGGGGCTTTTAAAAGAGGGCCCAAAATTAGACGACTCACAGCCGAACTATTACGGGCGCCGTAAATTTAAATTCTGAGAACTTTTATACGGCACCCTCGCACGGATATTTAAAGGCGGTTCCCTGTTGCCTAATGGATTGGCGTCGTCAGACTTGGCGAGGATGGCGGCGGGAGCCACAGCTGGTGATCCATCTTGGATTGCACCACCCAAAGGAACCACCACAATGTACCGTACCCGATACGCCCGCTGGGGGACATGCTACGTGGGCAGTGCAGTACTACCGCATCGCATATCCGACCGTCACGTGCCGTCCTCCCTGACCGATCAACCGCACACACTCCAGCTACGTGGTACTTAACTATCATTTGTTTTATTATATTTCACCAGGTAAGGCCCCAACTGAGCTTAATAGCTATTTCAGAAGCGACCTGGCAATCACAGATGATAGCTCAACGGAGTGGCTGATCATCATCATCATCACGTGGGGATTTATATCAGTAGCCAAATACTCCCAAACGCGTGCTTCTAAACGTGGAGGGGAAAAAAACGGAGGACCCGGAGAAAAATCCACGCGACCACGGGGAGAGAAAGACACGCAAACTCCAAATATACAGCAGCAGGCGTCGGGGTCGAATCCACGCCCTCCTGTATACCCGGCGAGCTAGTTAGCATCTCGCCACTGTGGCGCCCCGAGCTTGTGCACGTGGTGCAACTGTGAGTTGCTATCGGCGCGTGTCCCAACCTGCACCTCGCGACGACTGCCCTGTTGGGTTCCGGCCACGCGGCAGCCAGTCCGCTTCTCGCTATGGCCGCGACTTCCACGTCACGTGCCACGAGAGGTTAAGCCTCGCATGCCGTGTCCGTTTCAAGAAAATAGAAAAAATAAAACGCGTGACGAATTAAAATGTCTGGCAACGCTTAAAGGAAAATAGAGCATGCGAGTCCCTGCAGACATGTTCGTCAGGTCTGCAACGCAACTTTTAATGGCACAATTTCGAGAGAAAAAAAAATGAATGCAATGAGGACCAGCGTGGTCTGCATCGAGAGGCCAACCTTTCCATGCATGTGCACATGCCTACACATACCTACACATACCTACACGTGCCTGCACATGCCTACACGTGCATGCACGTATCTGCCACATACCTGCACGTGTCTGCAGGTACTTGCACGTGCATGCACTTACACGTGTATTTGCATGTGCACACAACTACACCTGCACCTCCAAATATACCTGCAAACAGACGACTCTACCTGGACACAGACGCCTCTACCTGCACAAGACACCTGCAGCTGCACAAAGACACCTGTACCTGCACAGACACATGTAACTGTGTGCACACACCTCTACCTGCACACACACACCTGTAAGTAAACACACCTGCACCAACCTACACCTGCACACATCTGCAATCCCCTATGCCTGCACACACGCGCGCCCACAACCTAACAAGTACAACAGCAGCCGCAAGTGACGGTGACGTCACAACAGCGCCTGTGCCAGACTAGGTGCCCTCGGTTAGCACAGTAGGGGGCACAGGTGGTGCATCGACCAGTCATCTCGGTCATCTCAGTCAGTCGACCCGTGGCACCTGCTGGGTCTGCCCCGTGACCTCCTGCCAGCGGGCGTTCGACACTTCACGTGGCCTCAACGTGCACCTAGCCTGGCACAAGCGACGTGGTGACGTCACCGCCACTTAGTGGCGAATGGCGGTTGTTGTTGTCCTCGGTTATGTCACCAGAGTGAGGAGTCTTTGACACGTGCAGCTTGACCTCCCTTGACCTCCTGCCGGCAGGCAGATCACGGGCACACACCCAGGTGAAAACTGGCAGAGATGACTGGCAGCTGCATCACCCGTGCTGTTAGCGAGCAGCACCTATGAAGGCCGACACGGCACACGAGGGGGTGGGGTGGCCAGCACCACGCCCGGTAGCCTTTGTCTCCCCAGTGGCGATGTTTTGCACACCGCGCCAGCTACTCAATTAAGGCTGAGTCGACCTAGTGGAGGCCCAGAACCGGTTTGAATATTCGCTGTCGCTATAATTCCTCGTGAGCGCGAATCAAACTTGGGCCGTGCGCTAACCGCTGCACATCCGCTCACCACAAACACACGCGCACACACACACACTCACACACACACGTGCACACACACACGTGCACACACACGTGCACACTCACACACACACGTGCACACTCACACACACACGTGCACACACTCACACACACGTGCACACACGCGCACACACACGTGCACACACACACACACGTGCACACATTCACACACACGTGCACACACACACGTGCACACACTCACACACACGTGCACACTCACACACACACTCAAACGCGCACACACTCACACACACGTGCACACACACACACGTACACACGCAGGCACACACGTGCACACACACACGTGCACACACACACGTGCACACAGTCACACACGTGCACACACACACATAACGTGCACACACGTGCACACACACACACGTGCACACACACACACTCACACACAGGTGCACACGCACACGTGCACACACACGTGTACACACACACACACGTTGTGCACATTCACACACACGTGCACACACACACGTGTGCACGTACCTGTACCTGTACACAGGAGCTGCGGTAGAAGCAGCAGGAGGCGGCTGACAGAGCCTGCCAGAAGCTGCATTTTTGCGTCGACATCGTGCACGGCTTCTCTCCAGCACCACCGCCACCGCTGCTCCCACCACCACCACCACAACCACCACCACCACCACAACTATCGTCGTCTACACCGCAACCACCTCCTCGTGCCGACCAGATGCCAGCTCTGCCTCTCTCAAGCTCTGCCTGCGGCCGTGACCCCCCCCCCCCTACCACCACCACTACCACCACCACCCCCTACCACTACCACCACCCCCTACCACCCCCACCACACCTACCACCCCTACCACCACCACCCCTACCACCACCACTACCACCGCTACCACCACCACCCCCTGCCACCACCACCCCTACCACCACCACCTACCACCACCACCCCCTACCACCACTACCACCACCACTCCCTACCACCACCGCCACCACCCCCTGCCACCACTGCCAGCACCACCCCCTACCACCACCACTACCGCCAATATCGCCCCCACACCCGCTTCTACCGCAGCCACCTCCTCGCTGGAGCACGACACCACCACCGCCCTCCTCGTCTCTCTCCCTGCAGCGCCCTCCTCTCACGCGCTCCACACCCCGATGCGCCCGGTCCGGGCTAAGAATGCAGTCCTTGTTTGTCGGTTTCCAGCAGCAGCAGCAGCAGAAAAAATGCTCCAAATTCCCCGATCGGACCCCAAAATAACGCGCGGGCGAGACCCGACATCGCCGAGACCCTACATCGCTTAGCAGAGCCGCCAGGGTCTGGATGCACCCCCAGCCCCGTTTCACCACCGCCGACACCGCGCGCGTCTCTCTCTCTCGAGCAATTATGGGGCGGTAGGAATACCCAGGAGCCAGCGACACCGCTGTGTGAAATAGGTCAGACCGTCTGCCTCTTGGTCGGTCGCTCTGTCTGCCTTGACGAGTGGTCTGTCTGTGTCTCTTCGCCTCTCTCTCTCTCTCTCTGACCCTCTGTTGGTCCCGTCAGATCTGCCTGACTTGTCGGGTCTGCCCGTCAGTCTGTCGGCGGGTCCGGCTGCCTGTCTTCAAGGCTCCGCAGTCAATCGGCTAGGTCAGTTCAGAAGACCTCTCAGTCAGTCTGTCAGTCTGTCAGTCGGAAGGGCCGCTCGCTCGCCCGCCCGCCCGGGTCCTTCTCTCGCTGCCAGCCTCACGATCTTCGTTGCTCCTTTCCCAGGCACGCCGCTGCGGGGCTAATTCAAGCCAAATTCTCATCCGCACGCTCCGAGCATCTGGTCGTTTCACTCCCACAATCGCCCCTCCCCCTCCATGTAACACGCTCTCCCTCTCTCTCTCCGCTCTCTCTCTCCGCTCTCCCCTCTCTCTCTCGCTCCGTCTCTCTCTATCGCCCTCAGCTCTCTCCGCTCGCTACCCACTGCTGTTGCCAGCCTCTCCCCATTTCTCCCTCTCCCACTCTCCCCTTTCGCTCTCTCTCTCGCGCGCGCGTTCTGCCTCGTCAATTTGCGTTCCATTCACGCGCTCTCCGCCCCCCCCCCACCCGCCTCGTTCCGCTTCCCTCGCCTGCCCTTCTCCAGTCGGCTGCCACTTGCAGATGTGCGTCCAGGCGGGCGGGCAGCTGCCCGATTTGCCTGTTTTATTTTTACATTTTAAAGGCTCGAGGAAAGGATGAAAAAAAATATTTCCCCTTCACATGCCATCCCTTGGGAGATGATGGCTCAGTGCGCCGGGGGGGGGGGGATGAGGGAAGGGTGGGGGAGGGGCGTGCGACTGGGTTGGGTTGTGGGGGGTCGCGGGGAGTTCGGGGAAGGGGCCTTGGCAGCTGGGATGTTGGGGGGAGGGGCGGCGCGATTGCGAGGTTGCGGTTTATGCAGCACGGTCTGCAATGTCGTCATAAATTCGCATAACAAGCAACCTGTAGAGAGACCACCTATGGCTGGCTACCCCCCACACCCACCCACCCACTCGCCGACCTATGCAGCCACCCATCCAGTCACGCGAACCGCCACCCTCCCATATCGTCAGCCATTCGTTCGTTCATTCTGCCACCCAGCCAGCCACGCAGTCGGATATACAGCCATCCTCTCAGCCACTCAGCCACTCACTCGCCCAGCCACTCACCCAGTCGTCCACCCACACACTCAACCACCCACCCACCGACTCAGCCACCCACTCAGTCAGCCATCTAGCCACCCACCCACCGACCCAATGACCTACCCACTCATCGACCCACTGACCTACCAACCCATCCACCCACCCACCCATCCAATCGCACAGACACACATCCAGCCACTCACCCTTCCACCCACCCACCCATCCAATCGCACAGACACACATCCAGCCACTCACCCTTCCACCCACCCACCCATCCAATCGCACAGACACACATCCAGGCACTCACCCTTCCACCCACCCATCCAATCGCACAGACACACATCCAGCCACTCACCCTTCCACCCACCCACCCATCCAATCGCACAGACACACATCCAGCCACTCACCCATCCACCAACCCACCCATCCAATCGCACAGACACACATCCAGCCACTCACCCTTCCACCCACCCATCCAATCGCACAGACACACATCCAGCCACTCACCCATCCACCCACCCATCCAATCGCACAGACACACATCCAGCCACTCACCCTTCCAGCCACCCATCCAATCGCACAGACACACATCCAGCCACCCACCCATCCACCCGCCCAGCCAGCAAAAAAAAAGGATGACGTCACCTGGTTTTTAAAATAATGCATCTCTCAGCCGATCGCTGCAGAATGTCACGGCGTGCAACCTCGGCGACCCGCGTCTTCCCAGGGCTGTTTAGGCAGCTGGCTCCATATGTGACACACAAATATAAATACAACAAATAACCGCACACATCCATAATTCATGAGGTTTAAGGAATTTCTCTTTGCTATATCATGGCCCATAGCCGTGTCGGATTGAATTGTGGTTTTGGTTTCGGGTTGCACGGCAAGTAGATTGTCACCATCGGCCACGGTTAATCCACTGCTGGATGAAGGCCTCCCCTCAAGCTGTCGCCACCCCTCACCAGCACTCCCACACCACCACCACCACACAACCACCACCACATAACCACCACCACCACCACACCACCACCACCGCCACACAACCACCACCACCACCACCACCACCGCCACACCACCACCACCACACAACCACCACACAACCACCACACAACCACCACCACCACCACACAACCACCACACAATCACCACCACCGCCACACCACCACCACCACCACACCACCACTACACAACCACCACCACCGCCACACCACCACCACCACCACACCACCACCACCACACAACCACCACCACCACCACATAACCACCACCCAACCACCACCACCACCACACAACCACCACCACCACACAACCACCACACAACCACCACCACCACCACACCACCACCACCACCACCACACCACCACCACACAACCACCACCACCACCACACCACCACCACCACCACCACCACCACCACACACCACCACCACCACCACCACCACCACCACCACCACCACCACACCACCACCACCACCACCACCACCACCACCACCACCACCACCACACCACCACCACCACCACCACACAACCACCACACAACCACCACAACCATCACATAACCACCACACAACCACCACAACCACCACCATGTCTGGCTATATTAATTCAGCGGCATTGCAGGAGGAAGCTACGGTGGCTGGGGGGACGTGGAGGGGGGGGGAGATAAAAACAAATCAAGTGCTGGCGAGCGTGCGTTCCCAGGGATGAGATCTGCACGCCGTGCCAGTTGTTGCGGATATTGCTCTTTATTTATTTATATCATTCCCCCTACCCCACTCCCTCCCGACGACAAGAGACGGGCAAATGTATCCTCTGCCGGACGGGCGCTCCATCACGGCAACATGACATCACCGCTGGCACGATCCACTGAGCCCCCCCCTCCCCCTCCCACGCCTGCGCTGTATATCTCGTCACCTTTAATCGCGTCTCGCCGACACGGTCGAGTGGAAGGCGACTTATTTGCCCTCCTGGTCGCGGAGCCTCGTGGTTCGGTCGCTGGAGGCCCCGGTTAATACTGCGCCGATTCACTGCATATTCACCCCCACCGCCCCACCAATGTGGATTCGTGCACATTGCCAGCACGCTACAGATTGTAAGACGTTGTCACCCACTGCGGGATTGTACACAAACCCCCCCACCCCCACCCTAAATCGTGGCAGTGCAACAACGAAAATTCCACCGGCAGACGGTCAAATCATTTCATCCGTCACCCTGCATCATATTCAAAGATCCGAGATCCCACGCTGCTGCTGCCTTTAACGAAGGAAAATCTTCTGCAACGATGCACCACGCACGGAAGAGGAAGCACAAATTGTGCCTATAACATGACAAAAAATGCTCTAAACGCGTGTTTCTGAACGTGGAGGGAAAAACCGGAGTACCCGGAGAAAAATTCACGCGACCACGGGGAGAGAGAGACACGCAAACTCCAAATACACAGCAGCAGGCGTCAGGGTCGGGATCGAATATACGACCTCCTGTATACCAGGCGAGGTAGTTAACATATCCTAGCCACAGTGATGATGATGAGACACGCAAACTCCAAATATACAGCAGGCGTCAGGGTCGGGATCGAACCCACGACCTCCTGTAGACCAGGCGAGGCAGTTAGCATCTCCTAGCCACAGTGATGATGATGATGATGAGACACGCAAACTCCAAATATACAGCAGGCGTCAGGGTCGGGATCGAACCCACGACCTCCTGTAGACAAGGCGAGGCAGTTAACATCTCCTAGCCACAGTGATGATGATGATGATAATGAGACACGCAAACTCCAAATATACAGCAGCAGGCGTCAGGGTCGGGATCGAACCCACGACCTCCTGTAGACCAGGCGAGGCAGTTAACATCTCCTAGCCACCGCGGCGCGTTGGGGTTAGAGGGGCTGAGTGAGATGCAGGGTGGCTCGAGGCATCAACGATCGGAGCAACAGCCCAGCGCCCCAAGCTGTTCAGGGAGTTTCTGGATGCACGGGCTCATCGGGGTCAGATCTCAACATCGCCGTGAACCCCAATAAACATAACAGACTCATTATTCACGTAATATGCTCATTAAGATAACGGCCAATTAAGCTCCCATCGCTATCTTGTTTTATTACCTCTGCGGATTCTTTATGATAACCTC